TAACGCACTTTTTTTTGACCGTTGCTTTTTTTTTTTTCAAGTTCTGCTTTTTTTACTTTTTTTTTTTTTTTTTTTTTAAACCCCCCCCCCCCCCCCCCCCCCCCCCCTTTTTTTTTTTGTTGAGATTGACAGTCTAAAATCTGAATACTAGGGCTCATTCCATCATGCCATTCCTGAAGCGAGACAAGGCATTTATCTTCTACGTAGCCGAAGGCACAGGCCCTGCAATTCTCCTGCTACACGGCTGGGCCTGTGACTCGCTGGACTGGCAATACCAAATACCATTCCTGCATTCTCTCGGCTACCAAACCATCGCGTTCGATGCGAGGGGTCATGGTGCGTCCTCGGTACCGCCCGCCGACGAACCCGAACAGCTTAGAGCAGAAGTTACGGCTGATGACGCCGTTGCTGTTCTTGAGCACTTAGGAGTGCCCTCTGCGATCCTCCTCAGCCACTCCGCCGGAGCCTTGGTAGCCTCCATCATCGCCGCGCGCAACCCAGCCGTTGCAAAAGCAAATATCATGGTGGATCCGGAGCACTACCGCGAGCACGACGGGAGAGGCCAATTCATCGAGGCTCTCAAGGCGGCTGCGCAGGGAACTATGATACGGACGCTCGCGCAATCGTACTCGGAGAACACGCCGGAGTGGCTGAAGACTTGGCATCGATATCGCATCTTAAGAACCCCGCCTCATGTTATCTACCAGTCGCTGCGCGTAAAGTCTGAACACCCGAACTCGGTTGCCTGCTGGGACTCTGCAAAGGTGTGGATGAGGGAGCGAAAGGGTCCAAGATTGGTTGTGTTGAGGGACGAGACGAACTTGGAGAAGGAGAGAAGTCTTGGATTAGGTGGCAAGGATTCCATTGAGATCTTCTCGGGCGCCGGGCATTGGATGCATGTTCTTGAACCTGAGAGGTTCAATAACCTCCTGAAGGGATGGTTGGAAAGTGCTGTGACAAATGAATAACCTTGCCTCAGAGAGAAAAGAGAGCCTGTATACCTGTGTAGATTTGCTAGTAATTTTAATGAACGGTTGGAATTGAAATAGTACTGTCGGTACTTTACATTCTTTTAGGTATACTATTCTAATTTCAAATTGCTATAGACAACTCCTCATTTACTTTAATGAGCACCGAGAAGGGCATGACATTTGTCCAGGAGCAAGACATTTTATCAGGCTTCATTTGATCTAGATACTTCGTTACTAGGTGATGTTGACTACTTTTTGCTGTTTGACTTAGATACTTATTTCCTGGGGATACTAGGTGGTTACGCGTGAGAGTAAATGAGCTGAGCCCAACGGCAATGACCGTGGGTGCGGAACTCCTTGTGACACTATCCTTAGGTACAGGAAGGGGATGACCTCTGCCGCCACATCTTGCTTGGCCTACGATGAGGTAATGGTATTTGTTGTCCTTGTCCTCTCGTAGACTCTTCCCGTATTAATTTCAACCTGCCACGACGATAAGAATTCTGTCGGATGCCTCTAAGTTTACTTCTGTTTCTCAGAAGCTAAGACTAGCCGTCGACAAGTACATCGAAACCCGCGAAGAAGAGATCAAAGAGAAACCTTACGATTCGTGGTTCATACTTTCGGGTGGTTACCTAATTATATAACTTTCGCTGCGACGACAATATATCGCATTCAAATATTCATCCGTCTGCCATTCATAGGGTTGTATAGATTTGCTGCAACTTAGAAGTTTCTCTCGTGATCGCGAGGATGTTAAGCGCCGCATCGGCATGATCTAGCCCTTGCGGCCTGATATGTTCAAATTGAGGCTGTCATTACCAGTGGCATACTCGAGACAGCCACTGCACAGATAATCAAATCCCCGGAACCATAAAGTCCTCGAAGTCCTCGTCGTCAGGGTTCGCCGTGGCCTTCTTAGCTGCGGCATCGGCTACCTGATTGAACCTGCGGTCGATGCGCCAGAACTGGATCGCCAGTCCCAAGTCCTGGTACCGCTCGGCCTCTCCGAGAAGCAGTTCCCATAAGTCTCGATTCGCAACGTCATCGCCCCCGGAAGTCTTCCAGTTGTTCTGTGTCCACATTTTCGCCCACTCCGTCGCTCCGCGCACAACGTACTCGGAATCAGCGGCGATAACGACGGTGCGGTATCCGTCGTCAGACCACTGGCGCGCGCGGAGTGCCGCCAGCGCGGCTCGAAGTTCCGCCCGATTGCTCGTCTGCTGTTGTACTTCCCCGCCGAACGGGCCCTTCATCTCCAGGCGACCGGAACACGTCCGAGCTTCTGGTTCGGGACCGAAATAGAAAGCCCATGCGGCGTTGGCACCGCCTCGACCGTTGTTGGCGCAAGCGCCGTCGACGTAGATGAGGATCTTGGATCGGTCATGGACATGGGTGAACCTCTCCATGAAGTCGTTGATGGGGCCAGGTCGGCCAATGAAGGCCGTCTCTGGGTGTTCCAGTGGCGATGGCTCGGTGGATGTCTCGTATGGAGTTGGGAAGATGCGTCCTGTGCCACGCTGTCTCTCAGGCAGACTCATGCCGAAAAAGTCGAGGAACTCGTCCCTTGATGCTGCGGGGGCCGTCATGATTCTCTACTGTAGTGCTGTCCCAATATCTCGTGTGTTTTTATATGCAAGGAGGCTTTGGTAGACTTCGTTCGGCCACTCCCGAACGGCTAGATAGTGGAGGCAGAAAAAACTTGGATCAACAATCAAATACGGTAGATAGAGCGCAAACGAAGGCTAAGATATAGAAGGTCTTCCACCTACACCTTCTTTCTACAGCAGAAATAGCGCTCCCTACTACGTATATATCACTACTTACCTATGTAGGTAGGTAGGTATTTGGCGATGGCCATTCACTGACCAGAACTGACCATCAGTACTGTGCAGTGTGTTTGGGGCGGGGGTGTGGTGGGAAGCTTTATAGCCTATAAGGGATAAGCATGCCAGATCAAGGGGCGGTAGGCCTGTTTGGGAAGTAGAACCAAATTATTCTAATTCCCTTTTTGGATCAAACTGGCCAATTTGGTTAGGCGGTAGCCCTGGACAGGTTATAGCCCGGTTAGCGCGGCCGCCATAGTAGAGCGGACTCCACTAAACTAGGTACTGAGGTCCTCTGGTCTACCGAGTAATTATAAAAGAAAAGAGCCTCCTTTTCCTAAAATGGCCGCAAGAGTAAGTTTACTTAGGTACTTTTTTGTTCACTTTCTACAAGCAACTTGATCGCTAGAGGTTCCTCTGGCCACATGTGTTTACAGTCAGCGAAAATGTGGTTTTCAAGTGCTCCGCCGCCTAGTCTGCCAATCACCCAGGAGCAATGGATAAGACAGATTATGAGCGCAGAATCCTGGCTCGAAAAACTTGGCTTTGTGCACGGTCATCTACGGCCAGCAAACCTCCTCCTCGATGTACGAGAAAATATTCAACCATGTGACTTCGATACCACGGTGATGATTGGCGAACAGCTGAATACGAAAACTTCTTAGCAAAAGAGGAGCTGCTCGAAGAAGCAGGAAATCGGCCATGCACCTTCAACTGCAACATAGTCCGTCACCTAAGTTGACTGGAGCGGGATAAGTGTTTGTTACATGTGTACAAGCTTTACAAGCTGAATATGCAGTTCGCCTTGCACTTCGGCCGTACGAAAGGCCATTGCAGGCTGTTAATGATCATTCAAAGACATGCAGGCAATGTTGGGCCATCTTGGAAAGTGAGGTTATACAGACTTCGCTTCTTAAAACAAGCTATTGAGACCTAAGCGGTCTGGGCTGGCAGACCAGTTGTATATAGAGTCGAATCAAGCCACCAAGGCCAAGATGGAATTGGTTGGTTAAGGATTTATGCAGCCATAGTTGTTCATTGTATTATGAATAGTATCAAATTCCAAGCCCAGATCTCTGCCCTTGTTATAGAGTTCAAGAAAGGGGAGGGAACATCAAGAAAACACCCGTCCCGCCAGAATCCATGTCGCCAAGATCCAGACGCCAAAGAAGCGTTAGTATTCTCAATGGGGGGATTCGATCCTGCGTCATCTGCGAACTGCGCCTCACCTGTGCTACTGAAAATCTACCTCACTACATGTAGTGCTCATGCAGTTTGCCTGATGTTTATATTGACCAGACAGGTTAGTTTCGAGGCCAAAACGATTGACTTCGCACGCAATCCTACCACTATTCTTGATCGAATGCTTATTTCTTTTCACCTTTTGCCTGCTAATCGAATAGAACATAATAACACTACCACTCACTGCCCTTTAGGCTGATGAGCTATCAACTTTTACATCATCATGATTAGTCCTTGTAGCCAGTTTCTCCCAGGTTTCCCAACCACTCTGATGTGCCTCTATATGTCCCCTTACTATCTTGTACGCGTCTTCCCCAATCAATAACCTCTGTGGGAGTTCATATCCAACACACCGACCGCTCTCTGTGAGCGCCTCAACGACGAGTTGCGCGGCCTTGTCGGGGTCGCCTGGTTGCTTAAGATTGTAAGCGTCGAGTGCCTTGATGGTCGGTTCGATACCCTCAGCTAGATCGGGGATCACTTTGGCGGCACGCATGCGACGACTTGGGGTTAGGAATTCTGTACGTGTGTATCCCGGCTCAATGGCCATCACCTTTATCCCGAGATGTGCGACCTCGCTACGTAAAGACTCCGATAGGAGCGACGCGCATGCCTTAGTCGCACAGTAGAGTCCGGCACCGGGCGTGCCATGCCACCCGCCGATGCTACCCAGATTCGCGATGACACCAGAGCGCTGTCGACGCATAAGCGGCAGCACAGCGCGTATCATGTTCAGCTGGCCGAACACGTTGGTATTGAACACGGCTTGTACCTCGTCGTGACTGCATTCTTCGACCCCGCCGGTGAGGATGTATCCAGCATTATTGACGAGGATATCGATACGGCCATAAGTGCTCAGGGTGAAATCTGCGATGGCTTGAGAGATCTCAGCGTCAGACCACGTCACGTCCAGGCTCCTTGTCTGGGCCCCAAGCTCGGATAACGAGGACAGCTTGCATACATCGCGCGCTGTAGCAACAACAATGTCGCCTCGGTTGAGGGCAGCGACTGCGATGGAGTGGCCCAGCCCTGAAGAGCATCCTGTGATGAGCCAGACCTTTTTAGTATTGGCGCTATTCGGGCCGTTCATGGGGGTAATTACTGCCATAGCGCTATGAAACTGATATCATCTAAAACACGTAGATATTCAAACAAAGATGCTCGTAGCACCTGGGGAGGTATGGCTGCGTTAATGTTTACTGATATAGCTACAATAATTCAGCACCACACCCTTGAACCCCGAGTAATTAGATACCCATCCTACTTGAGCTGTATAGTCTTTGTACTTATCATTGGAGTATTGGCACATGGTGTCGTAACAAAGGAAGAAAGACCCCAAAGTCTCTATAAGGCAGAAAAAGACAATAATGCGATCAGGGTAAAAGGCTGGGGCGTATGATTCGGACTCCCTACGGCCCCGACTCTGTTCTTCTTTCGCGAAAGTTTTAAATAACTTTTTTACTGAGTATCTGAAGTGCAGCTCTTCCTCTGGCTGTGAAACAATTCCAGCCTCTGTTCACCAAATCCAGTTTACAATGATTTTATAAGAGAGTAATATGGTGTGGAAAGAGGTAGAAACTCATACAAGGTTGGCAAAAAGAGGATTTGATTTAATTTGAAAATAATGAATCAAAATCTGCTTAACAGAAGGGTAGAACAAGACTTCATGACTGCGTTCAATGCTTTCGACATGGTCGAGACAGCCTTGTAAGTTGACAGTTCTAGTACCTCTACTGTGCATGATCGTACAATGAGTATTATGCTCAAACAGAATATCACTATCTTTAATATGTCCCTTGCCCATTTGGGGTGAATTGTTACAAATTTGATCACTGCTCTTCTAAACTATAGAAAGCTGCAATAACATAATACAAGGGTGTAGTGAGGGGGATTCGTCTGTGTTGGTTTCGAAGTTTCGGGAATCAACGAGAACCTTATAGGAGGGCACTACAGGGACAAATGAGTTGCTTTTTTTCTTTAGCATTTTCCCACGAATTCAATGCGTGTATTTTTTTTCAATCATATCGAGGAGGCAGCTGGCACAATGGACGTCAACTTTAATATCCGGTACTTACTTATTTGCCGTTTGCTTTCCATGCTCGCGCACCTTCTCTCCTCCCATTCATTTTCAGCCTTTACTAGAAGGCAAGAATCTGAACAGCTGAGTGCTGTGGTAATAAGTACCTATTACAGTACTTAGAGCGAAATAGAAAGTTAACAGAATTATAAGCCAATCAGGGTTTGAGCATTTGACCGCTTTAGCCGATTTAGGAAACTCAGGCTTGAATCATAAAGTGCATTTAACCAGGATAGGAGCCCTTGGCCAGAACCCTTGTCCCACATTAACCTAATCGAATTGGTGGTATAGCGTGCAGGGCTGAGAACTAATAGTAAGGGAAAAGGCATTCCCATGCGTCGTAGTCCCGATGTTTTCCATCTATGGGGGAGCCAGTGAACAAAGAGGGCTTCATTGTATATGCAAATTTACGCTATTGGTTACCGCTACTATGGGTGAGACAAGCGACAATAGATGGAGGCTGAGAGCCACGCACACGGTATGCACGTGTGCCGGCGTAATACAAATGAGACATTACCGAAGGGGGTCCTGCCATGTTTCTCATATCTCATTTTAACTGCCTATAAGTCATACAAGTCTACTCATTGCCCTTGGATTTCTCCTATTGCAATTGGCACTCTTCATGGTCAATCGATCACCTCATACTAGCACCTACAAGATTCTACAACGCTCCAAACACTTAAAGATAAATCAAGTTTTACAAATTTTGCCTCCTTCCAGACTCCTTCCTATCCCTATGAAGTCCTTGAAAAAGGTTACCTCTTCATGCAAGGTCCCCTAAACTAGCAAAGGCGATCTATTTCCTATTGAGGCAGCCAGGGACCTTTGCTCGCTTTCTTGGCTTTCACCTTGTTGCATCATCAATTTTTAGCCTTACTGCATTGTCTTTGAGAAGGAAGTTACCCCTTGGTCGAAGTCTTCCATGCTAGTCTCAGATAAGAATAGACTACCTCGCCTCTTTATCCAAGGGGATGGAACAAAGGTACAGGTCGTTTCGCGCTGTGCACAAAGAGACCACGTTCTTACTTAGGTTACACCAGCCAAGCCACTGGCTTGGCCTACTGTGAGTGTCGCCATGTGACTAGATCATACTCATATGCTTGATCGACTGTATGAACATAGAAGAATGCGATATCAACCATTATGACACTGAAGGCAAAAAGAATACCCAAGAGGTGGTCGATGGAGGAAGACTACATACTGCACGAGGAGACACAGAAACAAGGTTAGTAACGTCGACCATACTACTTCCATGCAAAGGAGCACATTCCGCTGTGTAGCATCTCAGGATTTGCTAAGACTGATATCTGGATGCAGAACTGGCTGGTGACACCAAGGACTGGCACCGAATTGCTGCAAAGCTCCCTGGGCGAACCAACAAGGATTGTCGCAAGCGCTGGGTTAATAAAGTATGTGGTAGCTTGAAAAAGGGGCCGTGGAACAAATCCGAAGATGAATCCTTGCTGGACGCAGTTGACAGATATGGTCAGAGGTAAGACTGCTTACAGAATCTGCCCTTTTCAGGGTGGTTGCTTAGTATTATGCTAACATGGCCTCTGAAGATGGACCTTAGTTGCCAACGACGTTAGTTTTCGGAGTCCGGACCGTAAGTGCAATTGGCTGGCCGAGAATCAAATGAAGCAAGAAGATGATACGAGGGAAACCTGGTAGCCAAGCTTGTCTTGCGATGATTGTTTCAGGATAGCTAACGATGTGTAATGCGTTCTAGAGTGCGCTAAGCGCTGGCAGTCAAAACTGGACCCGAACCTTGAACACGGTGGGTGGACAACAGAAGAAGTAAGTTGGCCAGGGCCTCAGTATAATTATCCTTGAGGTCACTTCTCAACTAAGTGTCCCTAAACAGGATGAGCTACTCCTGAGTCTGGTGAGAGAAAACGGGCGGGAGTGGAAAATGTTCCAAGAACAGAATTTCTCTAGGAGATCAACAAACGAATTAAAGAATAGGTTGGTAACTCCTTAGTACTTAATACTGCAGTTATGAGTAGCTCATTGTTTTTCAGATACACTGGCTTAACCCGAAAATCCAAAAACATATTCAATCTGGGTGAAAGCGTGAGCTTATCCCCAAGTTCGGGGTCTTTCAATATGGATTATTCCACAGACATGGAGGACTATGGAGTGACAGAGAGCAGCTTTGGGCTCCATAGCCACATAGGAAACGCGAATGGAGTCTCCATGATTGATCCACTAGTTCAGCAGGGACTGACGGTGGACTGGGTAAATTCACTTGACAGCTCCTGTATCTGGAGGGACCCGTTGAGCTATAGCCACGACTCAATTGTAGAGGATATTTTGCTTGAAGAATTCTTTCTCCCAGGCGATTGCACAATCAGGAAAGAGGAAACATATAAGCCATCATTGATAACACCCTTGAACACAACTCCAGCGACTTCAGGATGTGAACAAGTACCAGGGCTGACAAGCCCGACTTCATGGCCTGACCTCAGTTTCGAACAAGAAATAGTCACCCCAGGGGCCATAAGCGCTGATCCGAGCTACACAATCGAGCCGAATACCCTTGGTGATGACTTATTAGCCTCGATACAGACCGAGAGCTGCGAAATGAGTTTCACTGACGAGGGAAAAGCAAGCGATAACATACTAGCCCCTATCGAGACCAACGTGGGCAGAGTCACGCTCGTCATCGATGGATGCAATAGAGACACGTTAGACAGTTTATTGAGCCTTACGAAATCTTTGAAGGGGAAGACAAAGATTGAGATCAATTGACTTGAAGGCCAATCTAGGAGGGAACCGCCTTACCACGACAAAATATCATTGAGGGCTTTCGTACTGTGTATTAAATGTGTATATTATTAGGGGGAAAGATAACCAGGCGTTCAATACGAGATGAAATCCCTTTCGTATATTATAGTTAAATATACTTTGGATTTGCTGCTGGCAACTATCGGCTTTGTTTGGTAGAAGATTAATTTCGGAATCTGGTAGGAGAGAGGCTAGCAAAAGGCTTAGTTGATCGGTATGGCATGAGTAACCCGAAAAAGCTTTATTTCTCTTCCCGGACTGTACTTAGGCACCAGACTTTGCCGAGCCCATTCCGGCTTATGCTGCCAGCAGTTCCTTGTATCAATTCAACAGCGGTCTAATTAAGTAGACATCGACCTCGAAGAACATTATCTACCATATCGAGGTCTCTGATATACAGATTACAATTAGCACTTAAGGAGGCGCGCGAGAATGAATTGACCTGAAGTACGTGAATTTCTATGCTATATGTCCTATCTAGCCTCAACGCTCTAGAATAATCTGAAATACACTCATGCGCTACATCTATTGTAGGCTGTTGACCCTATTTTTCTATCGTGATCTTGAGTTTGCAGGTTCATTAAAGGGAGTGGCACTTCCCGTAACAACAGAGTTTGCCATCTTCACTGCTAATAATATCATCTAATTTGAGCACCGCGTGTTAGACTACTGAGGCAGATGTATTTCTTCCGATCACAGAAATGAGCTTTACATACCTAGATCGATTGTAGAGGAAAAGTATTCGACCCCAACCCCCGTTAAACACATCGCGCTAATTTCCGTACAGTCTTGGTCAGGGAAATGGACTTGATCGCAGGACTCGCTAAACATTCCATTAGGAGAGGCCTCTAGAATGCTTTTGTTGTTCCTAATGCAGCTACAAACTCTTAGCCCTTCGTTGCCACAGCCAAACTATTTACACTTGTTGGAATGTATTGGAGAACTTACAGGTCTAGGTCAATTCTAGGATGAAAGGGCAAGTTTCCTAGTTGTTTTGAGCCGTCGCAGACTGACTTAAGCCAGACCTTTCCGTGATCTGGAATTATCTCGTGGGAGTTGCAATGGGCAGTAAACCCACCGACATTGTTTCGGCGGGACCGGTGTTCAAATGCTGATACACCGTTGAAGACTGCGCAAAGACCAAGAACAGTGAAAAGCTTCATCTTGAGAAATATAAGATAAGATGCGAGAGGAAGAAATGAGAAGTCGAAAGTATCAACTCGATTAATATGCCGAACAGTGAGTTTACATACCGAAATGAGAGACATATTTATACAAAAGGCAGTTGAACAAAAAAGTACAATTTGCTTGATATCTTTTGTTGTATCTATGAATAGCCTTCAATTTAAGGTCTAGAGAGCATCCCTTGATTACATCCTGCCTCCTTTGTTGCAAAGTAAAATTATGCCACCCAATCACCAATAGGTATAGATACTGTGATCCAACAGCCGTCCTCGACCAATCATTAATCGATTTTTGCAGAGATACTACAAGCCACTACAATCGTGCAGTTCCAGCTACATTGAAATGGAGGAGCATGGGATTGAGATACGCTTAAAGAAATTTGAGGAGACTTAAGCCGAAAGGGTTCATTTTATACATTTTAGTATGATGGGACATTATTAATCTGATCTAGCGCTCTCATAGAACGGAAAATTCCTGCTAGTAGCAGAGGTACAATGTCCTCATCAGAGCCTGTGACCCTGGTCATCGACTTGAAATAACCTCTTACGGCAAGAGGTAAGTTTCATCCCTCAACATTTCAAACAATTACTACATTTGTACTTATCTCAAGTACTGGGAGTGTAGATGAGGAGTGCTGTGTTCGCGCGAGTGCTACGCATACCTATCTTACCTAGTGCTAAAATTATATCTCAAGATTCTTTAATTTTTTTTTGTTCTTTGTGACAACTTTTGCTCTGAGCCAATTATCGCGAAAACTCCCTGGTACGCTAAATGGGGGGGTTTTCAAAGGGATGAGTTTGGTTGGCAAGCAGGTTGTATGGGGGGCGGGTCCTCCCTTGACGGAGACAAACATGCTAGATTGCAGACTCGACGTAAGAGACAGTTGAGTATAACACCACTCAGATGGGTATATACTAGTGTCTTTCAGAATGCTCCGCCTGCTGATATATTTCTTTCTCAGATCTAACTATGATACATTACTTCCAGTACGTAGTAAAGTTAGACTTTCATTATCACATATATCCATCAACCATACCCAACCCGCTATGCCCTCTTCTCATCGTCACGCCTACCAGGACGCTGCACAAAATGCCTCTAACTCCACCAGCACCACTTCTCTACTAGACATCATCCACAGCCAACTCAAGCAGGAGTGGAACTATGGGGCCAATGATTGGTACCTACCCGAAGAACGACTTCCTGGTTTGATCACAAAAGAAGCAATCACGAATCATCTTTGGGAGAACCTCCAGGCCCTGGAATCCCCGCAGAAGGAGGAGCTCGTCAAGAGCATTGCTGAGAATTCGAAAAGGGCTTTTGGCATTGCTGTCATTATAAACCTGGATAGAGATACGATATTCGAACTCTTTTACAAGCTTGAATTCAATGATAGCATGCTTCCAATCTCGCAAAATGAGCCCTATATGGTAATAGACCTACTAGGAGATTACCACGCTAATCTGTTTCGCAAGAATCAAGACACCTTCCTTCATTATCGCTGGGCGAACGATTACGGCTGAGACGATCTTTATCTTCCATATAAGGTAATTACTCCTGCATGGGGGGCGAAACTGGTCACTCTAGCTGTAATGGCATCTACTTTGCTCTGTTAATAGCATTAGGCAAGTGGCTTTTCGGATGTCAAGCTCTCTAGGCTTAGGGTTGGAAGCAGATATAGTTGCACAAACATTCTTAAAGCGCGTCTCAGGCTCGTTTAAGCCACTCATAAACACATCCTTTTGTGCACTAAATTTGTGATACTGTGATCGATGCCACATGTAAATTGTATTGGTGGGCACAGCTGGAGGACATATGGCATGTAGTACAGAATCTCTCTATCATCCCGTAGCACAACAAACATGTCACGTTGCTCGAGAGCGTTGAAGAAAGAATTTGACCAGTCGCGTAAATATTTAGAGGTTCTTCTAATCTTGTTTCTTTTAAACTCTTTGAAATCTTACGAGGAATCTCTTAACACACTTCGCTATGACGTTGGAAGATAGGACTACTCAGGCAAAGAATCGTGCTGAAAGGTGTAGCTCTTCTTATACGCAACCGGCCACCATCGTTGAGGATGTAGTGGTGTTTAAAAGTTTTCCTGCATCGTTCAAGCCTTCAATTGAATGGCTAGATGGCTCATCACCACTCCATCCATACTTCAACGATGCTAGGCAAATTCAGTCGGTAGTCACCCATATCAAAGACGAAGTCTTAACATTCGCTTTAGAAGGATGTCAACTGATCCTTCAAAGTCTGACAATCATTGAGGAAGATAACTACCATCTTCTGATCAAGACACTTAACCAGGTCCCTGAGCTTTGGCGGGCGGTGATTCTTACTCAACATTATGGTGTCATATATTTCATGTCACGCTCCGAGGCTCGGTCGAGATATCACCCCCTGATGCGTCAGAGTGCAATCGAATCAGATGCCATTGACAGGTTCCTCCGCTCACATGATTCTGCCGGCATTCGCGCTATGAACTACGCAATTCACGCATTCGTTACTCGTGGCAATCTACGTGTTGACTACGCAACCTCATGTATCCCTCCCAACGCGATAGCGGCAATTGGCCCCCGCCACGTTGTTGTGCGTGCCGTCGATTTCGATCACCGCTCAGCCTCCGATGTTCTAGCTTTCTCCTCGCCCATGTGGGATTTACATGACATCGCGCATCTGAGCTGCGCGACCATAAGCCAGGAGCTATATGGAAATAAATACCAAAAACACTTGATCCGGCTGCCGAAGGAACTTACGGCCCTCATTCGGAGCCCTGGCATGCGAACGGCGACAGGGCCGATAATCTCCGACGGCTTGGTTTTCAGTGAGCTCTTATCCAAGTTGTTCACTGACTCCGTGACCGTAAAAACAGAAGCATGTCCACGAACCTATAGGAGTCTGTGCACAGAACTTGCGACTTTACTTGCCGAATATTTCCTATGCAAGCGCGCACTCCAGCATCCCTCAACTGGAAGCTATATTTCCCTTCCACAGCCTGTGTCCTCGGTCCAATTGGCCGTGCTTGTTCAAAATAAGAGTTACGAGCTTCCAGCTAGCGAAATCGAGCAGAGGGTTTTCACACGCGGAGGGCCGATCGGTGCCAAAGAAGATATATTGCTTGATATGACTGGTAGGGAGCGAGCTGCCTGGTTAGCCACCAGTAATAGCTGGAGCTACTTTGAAGTGAGGAACACGATCAAGCATCGAGCACATAAGGAGTCTTACGAATTAGTGTGTAGAGACTTGATGGAGAGGGCAACGGATGCAAAGGAAAAGAAGCTTTTGCAGAAAATTAGACGAAATCTACGCTATGAAGACTGGGAAGAGGGTGAGCGGGTAATCCTATGGGATTTGCTACAAGGAACTGAGGATTAGCCTCATATATTCCCACAGGACAATCGAGACGGGCCTGTAAAATGAATACAGGAATCTCGTGGCCCCTCCAACGGAGTAGTGGATACGGAGCGGCAGAATCTTGTTGCGGGCATCGTCTATCAACAAGGTGATCTCCAGGGGTAGGCATACAAGATATGTCGCACCCCGCCAAAATGATGCTGTTAAACTCTACGCAGTCTATCTGCTATTCTATGTCTCCAAATAAGTGTGACAAATTACAACTTAAACTTGAGATCACCTGAATAGACATTAACTGATCGTTCCTGAAGGTGGCCCTACTTCATTTCCATCCACTCACCTCCTTGAGACATGGAAAGTTGTTGATGAATTGTGCATATTTCCAGACATTGTTAACTGTCTAAATCCTCACAATCGAATTTATATAATACTGTCTTGATGTATGCAGTTTATTACTACCTAAACTAGAATTATACCAACAGTTCAAGTTCAGCCCGTAAAAGGGGCCACCTAAGCTGTCCAATAACAGTGTGTTTGGCCACCTGCGCATGTACAAGAGTACTCTTCGTGACGTAGATCGATGCTGACAAGAATTTTCATGTACGCCTAGCCATACATCATTAGCATACATGAGTACCTAAGTAGGTAAGTAGGTAGCTTACGTACTCAGTGACAAGAAAGGTCAGTCCCCAGCTACTCCACCTCGGCGAGCGTATATGTGCACAGTTCTATTTACTGAGTTCCCATGTAAGCATTCACACGATGATCAACACCAGCAGCGAAGTGAATTATCACTTCTCTTCTGGTTCATTTGACGTTCCGGCCCGCACCGCCTTCCTCCTCTTTGCGCATAAGCCGTGTAACTCCGCGACTGAACCGACTTTCAGTTTGGTTATGAAATGCGGTGTTGGGCGTCGATCGCAGCCATTGTTACCCTGTCGCATACTGCTCTATGTTTAATCCAAATGTCAGCCACTTCGTCTCTGCTCTCCCCTTTAGGCTTTTTCGAAGCAGCGAATGCTGTACCGCTGCCGCCTAGTCAAGACCCATGGTACAGCGCCCCGGAGGGGTTTGAAATTGCTACGCCAGGCACTATCCTCCGCCTGCGTATCGCCCCTGGTAATCTGACCTCCGAGGTGGTCAAGAATGCGACGGCGGCGTACAACATTCTCTACAGAACTACCGACTCGCACGACCAGCCAGCGTGGGCTGTCACAACGCTTTTCATCCCGACAACGCTCTACGAGACCCCTTCGGGCAAAAAGGCTCTCGTGTCGTACCAGTTTGCGTATAACTCAGCTGACGTAGATTCGAGTCCTTCATATGGCTTCTACTATGCTTTGTCTCAGCCTGTTCCCAGCCTAAACATACCCGCAAGCACGGACCTCTTAACTCAACTCTTAACAAAAGGCTGGATCGTAAATTCACCAGACTACGAAGGCCCCAGCGCCGCTTTCGGCGCTAGTATACAATCCGGGCGCGCTACCTTAGATGCGTTACGCGCCGTCGTCAACCTAGCAAATCTGACCGGACTTGGTCCTCTGTCCGTCGCTATGTGGGGTTACAGCGGTGGCAGCATTGCCACCGAAGCAGCAGCTGAGCTACAGACGGAGTACGCACCAAGCCTTTCGATCAGCGGTGCGGTGGTTGGAGGGCTTGTTGATAATATCTCTGCCGATTATGACTTATTTAACGGGACCGTGCTCGCGGGTAACCTGGTCGCTGTCATCCTAGGCTTAGTCTCTCAGTACCCCGAGGCATTGGCGTACGTCCACAGTCGACTAAAGCCCGAGACGGCGGACGAATTTCTGGCGGCTAAGCATATGAAAACGGGCGCCGTCACAAGTTTTTTCTCCTCCAAAGATATCTACAGCTACTTCATTGGAGGGGCAGCTGACCTGCAGGCTCTACCTCTGCAGAAAGTATACGAACGGGAGTGCCGCTTGGGATACTATGGCCTGCCTAAAATACCCTTATTTCTGTACAAAGCGATCGGGGACCAGTATTGCCCAATTAGCCGGACCGACGCACTTGCCAGCCGGTTCTGCGACGCCGGCGTTGAGCTGACGTTCGAGAGGAACACGGTTGGAGGGCATGTCGCGGAAATTGGGAACGCGAAGCCCAGAGTTTTCGAGTGGCTTGAGAGTATTTTCCAAGAAACTTACCAGGTACCGGTTGGAAGCTGTTCCATACGTGATGTGACAGTCAACATCACTAAATTATCTACCTAATGCCGGCTACCTACATAACTAGTCATACATCCAACATCATCATGCGAGGTTATTACCAGATGCCTACTTATTCACTAAATGTCCCGTTAAATGCTACTTACATGCAGAGCGTGACATTCATCTCACCATTAAAAATGCCTTATTCGCCTAAAACACGCTCTTCCATTTTCGTCCTTATCCTTTTGCCTTGTCTCATCGCATTCTTCACGTTCAGGTACAAGGAGACACATTGTCATGCTACACTGGCGATGAATGTTACGCTGACGATGAAGGACTTGAGTCGAATGAAGTACAAGAATATCTAGCCGCTGATATGTCTCCGGGTTTAGGGGTCGAGTTTGAAGCAAATGGTTTCTCTCTAGCTAGAAATCCGGAGTGTACCTACGAACAAACTGATCAGCTCAAAAGAGGAGTTTTAGGAGGAAGAAAGAGGGATACCTAGCAGCTGACTGTTGACACAACACTAGTTATGGCAAACAGACTCCAACCCGAATACATCTTGAACGGTCAGGTAGTTAAGCTTTTGTCCGTCGTCATCGAGCGTTTTTCATGGCTGATAGACCTTTCATAGCTCGAATGGAATCCTTCTTCAGACTCCCCAAGAATGGCAGTTGAAGGGTTAGATGGATGCACATGGACTATCCCACCAGACACACTGTCACCAGGGGCGGCTGCAGGTCTTTCGTGGCAGCACCAAATAACTACACCTATGTCTCTGGAAGCTTTGCATGACATTATCGGAAAGGCCAGAGCAAAATATCTGGCACCACCAGTTAGCTTGCTTACTGAGACGAACCATCGCGTTCAGGGGCTAGTTTACGTTTCTACTGAGTTTTTCCAGTCCTCTCCTGAAGCGTTGCCGACGACTCCAACGTCGGATATACTAGGGTCTTTTTCGTTAGGCCTTAGCTATGCCAAAGCTGCCGATCGTTACATCTCCGGCACTAGTCCCAAGTTCAGACTTCCTATCACGCTGAGAAATGACTTTCAGAGCAGGTTCAATTTGATCAAAGGCGGTTTAGGCTCCTCCCTAGATAACGGAGCCAGTGCTTTATACAGTATCGTCAAAACCCTAGCATGTTATAGATGGTATACAGATGATGATATGTACCAACTTGAGTATGAATCCCACAGCATCTAATAAAACCGAACAATTACTAACAGCCATGATAGAATAGATCAACTCTACCGTAACGGAGACTTAGCTAATCTAATCATCGGCACGAAGAGGGATGAACTGAAATATTCGCTAACCGGGGGTAAAATCAACCCACCACCAAGCTTCACCATAAAGGAGTGGACGAACGATCTACAAGCCAATAAGGGGACCGAATGTCTGCCGGCGATAAGACGTGCGATGGTCAGATCGGCGGCTTTGGGGACAGAATGGAGTATGCCCTTGGTACAACTAGGTTGGTACCCCTGTTCAAGTTCCGAGACCTGGGTAGTAGCATGGCATCACAATTCGCAACTGTTGTCACGGTGGCCGAAACTGATATTATCAATTATCATAACATATGGAAATGCCCCAGCAACGACGATTTCAAGGAGGACCCATCGAAGTGTTCAACGCCAGCTCACAGCACGTTCAGCCAACGTAATTTCTGTTACTATGAGCTGATTCCCCTTGAAGCAGCCGGCGAGGTCGGCTTTGAAGGCATCTGCGGTGCCCTCAGTTCAGTGCGGCTATAACAAGGGCAGAGACTAGGCTTGAATCTGAAGCTATTCACGATACAATAATCTGCTAGCACTGCTAAAGCCTGCGCAATCAAATTCCTTCTTAGCTCCAGTGGCTCAATTTTTACTATACACAACGTTACGGTCTTCGCTTCGGCTTCGGCTAATTCTCAAAGCCCGAGATGTCTCATGACCACCGCAGCCTGTATAACCTGACTTCCATTACAAGGCTGCATACCTCATGAAGCAACATGCAGTTTCAGGAAGAGCTCTTGCAAGCATGCACCCGTACTCACCGCGTGTAACAGGGGTGATCACTGTTAGCTTCGTCCTCCATAACAATTTGGCTTGGAGCTGCCGGCACATCTTTATAACTAGTATCAAGAAATCTTATGGAATGTTATGTCAATGTTAGAACTTCTTAGAGAGTTACAATCCAAATTATAGTTGGTTATGTTTATAAGACAGGGACAGGAATCTGGGCTTGGAATTGAAGCTATTCACATGAGCGCTGGTCTGCCAGTCCTGACCGCCTAGGTCTCATTGGCTTGTTTTATGAAGCGAACTCTGTATAACCTCTTTTCCGATATTGCCTGCGTGTCTCTGAAAGATATGAACACCCTGCAGTGCAACGCAAGGCGAGCTACATGTTCCGCTTGTATGCATGTAACAGTCTATCCTCCTCCAAACCACATCATATACTTCGAAGGCCTGCGTCATAACTACAAACCTTGTCAAGTGAATTCCCGAGGCGAGAAGAGGAAAATCAAAGTGAAAAGAACAGTTGATATGACACCGCCCACTATAATACGTGGCCAGAGTTGAGAGAGTACGAACAGGCAGGCTTGACGCATCAAGAGATGTTGGCTCTCACGTGCATGTGGATTGGCTGTTGGCTTTAGGGCAATTAGAGCTCCAATGTTATTGATCGCACTAACATCCTTTTCCGACACTTTCTCATATTTGCTGCTTTTGTGCAGTATCCCCAAGAAGCTTTGTGCATCATCAAGCGTAGTATGGCAAGTTCCCCGCATTCCTGATTGTAGGCGCTGCGTGTTGCCATACTCGATGTTTTACTCCCACATCACTCTGGCTATTCATACTCATGCTCATCAGACCCGTCGTGAGCAGCTCTTCGGTTAGTATTGGGCTTTCAAATCCTTTATAACTTGATTTTGGTATTGACAGTATACTTAAGTGTTTATTTTGTACTTCTATTTCTTGTGTCCATCGTGTTGTCACAGGATCTTAGCGAAACTTCATCTATTTGGCCATGTGGTGGCCTATCATCTAGTCCAGCTGCTGACTCATGGGGAAAGAGGAAGCTACGATTTCACAGCTCGTTGATTGCCACATGTGAATTGCGAGATTTGGATTACTCAACAATGGTATGCTATTGCAGATAGATTCTTTTGCATTCTATCTGTGTTCCCAGGCGTTCCGCAACGGTGTCAAAGCTCCCAGCGCTGAAGCATTGCTGACATCATTCATTCTTTTTGTCACTCAGTACGCCATGACTCACGATAGTATGGAATGATTTAGTAATACTGAACATGCGCGGTAGCCTCCATGAACATGGCTTTTTTCTACGATTTTCCATACCGTGGTTGTATCAATAGTATCAAGTAATACGCGATACCTACAACGTGGAGAGTGATTTATAAGGTTCTTTGACACGTTTAAGATAACTACGCTTTGTGGTTATCTGTGTGTAAGTTGTAGGGAGATCTTGGATATAGTCATACCAAATTCGAGGGGCATAGAATATATTCTGGTCGGTCATGCCGTTACACTCGTTACATTTTCGATCTGGACCTAGAACGACCTTGCTACAGGCGTTAATGTTTTATGACGTACGTGGTTAGGTGGAGTGGGTGCAATGCGAGTGGCTTTTAGCGAAGCGAACCATTCAATGTGGTTCGACAAGGCAACCAGAGCTGCATATCTTAGTAGCATGGAGGATAAGGTGACCGGGTCTCGGAACCTCCCACTTGTCATGACGATGTCACAAAGCACGATCAGCCCTCTTGGCGCAGAAATGCTGGTAACAATTAGGACACATGGCCAATCACGGACGGGAGGCCAATTACGGAGGCCATGCGTCTGAGATACGAGAAGGTCCGCGCCCACGTTCACCCCCCATTCTAGTTATTCTGCTCACAAAACGCTCATGGCAATTATAGCAGTCGCATTTTCGATGACAGATTGTCATCCACGGCACCAGCGCCTCCTAATAGAAACAATCCTTCAACTGCATCTCCCAATATCTAGGCTTTTAGTTCTGTCTCTCTGATTTTTTTTGTATATCAATTTCGTTTTATCGATTTTTACCTGGGGATTCCAATACATGCCTTTGGTGAACCTCCCTTCTCAGCAATGCAGACTAAGCCAGCATTTTGGCTTAATTCACGACCTACGTTCCGCCGTCGAGATCGCGTGGGTCATGAGTTGCATCATGGATTTCCAATTCGCAAGTGGGAGGGTTCCAAGTGTAAAATAGTTCCTGTCTTATTGGAGCAGGATTACTGCCTGGAAGCTTTATCTCTTCGATACAAGAACTATGCTTTAGATAGCAATGAGGTAGTCGTTATCTTTACTTGATGTCGGGATTGCAATGATGCATCCGCATACCAAAGCCGTGGCCTGCCTTGTAGATTTTCTATTTTGCAGTCGCGACTAATGACTCCTTGAATTTTGGTTTGAACGATTGCGTTGAAGGGAAATAGGTGGCTTTTGTATGAGACCTAGTCAATTTGGTTCTTTCGCTAGGGGGTATGGCTTCAGACTACACTCACGTCGCAACTCTTGAAGTAAAACCCACACAGAGCGATAAATCTACTGAGGAAGTTTATGCTGCTGTGCTTGTTTGGCCATCTGCTCCGCCGCCTGCTTCTCCTCTTCCTTGAAAGCTCGGAACTGCAGAAATAATGAACTCGATGATAGAAGTATCATGGCGTGAGCCGGTGTAATAAGTAACGATACATAAATCAAGGAAATATTTCTCGAAGACGAATTAATCGTCCCTGTCGCTCCCCTTCGTTTAACTTCCTTATCAAAAACCAGCGCTATGAGATTTCCCAACCAAACCAGTGACTTCCCGCATATTGTAAAACACCCAAATGCCTAAGTAAAGAGAAAACCCAATTGTTGGACCACCGTACTATAACCCAGCGTCAACAACTACTGTTCATCATGTCCTCAATAGCAAGACCTTATGTCGGCATACGAGATCTTGGATCCGGCAGAAATCTTGTAGTTGTCGGCGCGCATCTTCTACAGGTCAGCATGATCCCGACAAAGGCACTACGTAGCACTGACTTCGACAGAGTAGTTATTTCCAAACCGTGCTTGCAGCATGTTCCCAAGCTTCGAAGGGTGGATGCAGCGACCCGGTATGCTCGTTATGGTCTGCTGGTGACGGTCAGACCTGCTCTTCGTATAGTATGAGCCGTTTGAGTACGACGAGACGCTCGAGGTTGAAGGCATCGTGCAAAGATATATAAGCCTGTAAAACCTTTACAAGATTTATATATCCGTACAAGATTACAAGGATTCTGTGTTCCCGCGAGAAGTTTGCAAAGAGGCTCTCAAAAGGGTATGAGATGAGGGACGAGAAGTCCCGGAATCGGGCGTCTCAGAAAGGCAGCTGACCAACGTGGCTTATATAGTATTGCACCGAAGATGAGCCTGATATTGCTTATGCAGGCCTTCGCATGGGCTGCAAAGCGGAAAGCTGATTGGTATAGAGCATGCGACTGCGGATTCCCCAAATTTGCAATGCAGGCAACCAATAACCCTCATGTTGTCTGCCAGTGCCGCACTCCAAAGGATCATGGGAAACCCGAAGGCACCAGTTTGATGACCCCAGTTGAAACCGGCCGCATGGCTCATTACATTGGAGTCTTGGACTCCCCCCAGCTACTGTCAGATTCATCAGCCTACCTCGGCTACTCTGCCCGACGTTTGATAGAGCCTGCGCTAAAAATGCACAATCCTTCGGCGATTGAAATTCAATTGAAAATTTCATGGTGCCGTGGGGGCCGCACCTCCAGCCCTACAAAGTAGGTAGATGAGAATGTAAATTGGCCCCCAAAATTCAGCAGGGTCTCGACAGAGGCGACAAGGCAACCCTTCGAAGTAGTAAGATCAGCATGCCACACTCTGGCCACGCTTTGCCCCTTTTGTTAGATGGCTTGTGATTCCAAGATCTTTACCAGAGCTGATGGGGCGGTTGCAGGTGCATTATCGCGCATCCCCGAGGATACTGCCTGTACCCCGTCATTGGCCAGCTGCAGCTCTCGTCACGCCCCCAATACCACATCGAGAGCCAGAGGCGGTAAGTTGGAGATCTCACTGCCATCTGCTACCTACGTCAAATGCTGAGTTTTCCATTCAGATGAGGTGGCTGAGGCTCTGCGTCAGATAAAATGGCACACTCCGTCGAGTCGGATCTCTTTTTAATATCCCGGCAACTCACGGGAACCGGCGAGCCATGTTCAAGACTATGCCAATTGATCCCAACTAAAAGCAGCGGGTTCATTGCCACCAGACATTGAAAATCATGAGTCACAACCATGGTGTGCCTGACGCGGAACGCATCCGAGAGGTAAGCAGTTAACAATGCTTGCAAGCTCATTGAGCTCATCTACGCTTTACTGAATCCCACTAGTTCATTCGAGAGGTTGAGACCCGGCGAAGAAGCCACAATCTATATTCGCCAGACATAGATCATCTCAAACTAGAGTTTCAAGAAGATACAGCGAGTCACCACGAATCAGACGGAGTAAGCCGAGTCGGCGATTATGGTTTCCAAGCCTGGGCACGAAATGCCCAGAAGTTAAAACCATCGCCTGATTCAGGAGATTTCATTGGTTTTGAGAATTTAGACCAAAAACCAGCAACCATTCTCCAAGATGACTTGCGAAATACTCTGGAGGAGGCTATGCTCCCCGCGTTGCCCAATGATGCACAAACATATCTACCTCTCGGCCAAGTTGAAGCCATCTGCCGAAGAGATGTGGTTCGCCGCGAGCTGGTGCGGACATTTGGAGATGACAACCCCGATATAGATCGTTTAATTGATTATGTCTGTGGGAGCCAAGACGATTCGAGTCGAGATGAAAATACTAGCCGGAAAATTTTTGCCAATCTCGTCCTCATCCGCAAACTGGATAAAATAAAAGATTTCATGGACACTGGGATCAAGGATAGACATCTACCTTTTAGGAAGTTCTCACATGAACGAATGAGCGAACCATTCGCTTTAGTTAAGAGAGCTACCCTGAACAGGGAGAAATCAGAGCCTGTGTTCTGCTTCGACAATTGGAGTCTGGTTGAGCAGCGAGAGTTTTACGATAACCAATGGCGTCTACTTAGCCCCTATTTTGACAGAGCACCTGATGGCACGGTTGGGCTATATGAGCTCGACGAGCAGTGTATCATGCCTTGGATTAAGAAAGGAGAAGAGAAAAGGGGCACGTTCGTTCCCGCGGCGAATATTGGTGGGTTCGCAAAAGTCACCAAGTTTTTCATACATCCAGACCATCATGCTTTCGTATGTGTTATCTACAAGCCTCTCAGTAGTAAAGCCGATTGACAGCAAGATAATAGGACACAAATAAGGTCGCTATTAAGGAGCTTATCGAATTGGACGACACTCCATTCCATCAGGAGTTCAAGAACCTAAAGAGGGTCCAAACGCGAGACCACTTGCTCCCCGTGTACGCAGCATATCGCCGAGGTAACTTTTATTCCTTTATTTTTCCTTGGGCAGACGGTGGTAGTCTGAATGACCTATGGGCAAGGGACCCTCTTGAATTGAAAGAAAGGGTACGTCTCGACACACACGAAGGTCGTGATGTGCTCCAAACTAAGAAAATCATTACGTGGGTCGCATGTCAGCTCTCCGGGCTCACCGGAAGGCTCGGGCTTGGATTTTTACACGACACTCAGTTCCTAGAACCAGCGCAACCAACATTAGTTGTTCCCAACGAAAAGGAAAAGCGATATGGTATCCATGGAGACATAAAGCCCGGTAACATTCTCTATTTTGAGCAAGATCAGAATGGAGATGGCAGCGGTTTAGGCCTATTCAAGATCTCGGACTTTGGGATTACTGGCTTCCACTCAGCACTTACGAGGTCCCGTCAGCCCCCGACTGGTCCCCATTCCCCAACTTACAGAGCACCGGAGTTTGGAGTGTTGGCTGCATACCTTTCAAGGAAGTACGATATATGGAGTCTGGGATGTGTGTTGTTACAGTTTTTGACATGGCTTATGAGCGGACCAAACGGCCTGAGGCAATTCGATGAAGCCAGGCTCAACGAGATGGACCAAAATAACCTAAACTTCAAAGAAGACAAATTTTTCATGACAACCCAAAATGGAGAGGCCGGACACAAAGTCTCCGTTCAAGAAGTAAGCAGTAAAAGTACACGAGGAAGAGAGCAAGTTGTGGGCGAAGCTAACAGTGTTAAAGCACATCGGAAAGTTACAGTCAAAGATCACTAAGGGGAATTATCTTCATGACTGCCTTGCGCTGATTAGGGACAGAATGCTTCGAATAGATGTTGCTAACCGCGCCAACTGCAATGAAATTCACGAGTGTCTCGCATCATACTATAAGAAGTGCCTCCAAGACAAGAACTACGCAATAGATATTTTACCATCCTTACAAGAACCCGCATCATCCGCACCTATACGGTCACAAGTTCCCGGCATCCTCGTCACGAGCCACTCAGCCAATGCCCCATCCGAAGTTTCTGATGATACGGCTGAAGCCGACCAAGTGTCCGATATATCCACGGCTACAGCTGGAAACAGAGTGAGCACTATTGACAGTTCACCTATGGCAAGGCACGAACAAATAACATTTCAAGCTAATACATCCGTTCCGCATCAACATGCATTAAATTTCGAGTCTAACAACACTAAAACCGAGGAAAAGCAGAAGACTAGCAAAACCAAGAGACTGTTATCTTATTTGAGGTTTAACCGGCTAAGAGATTGGTCTATACGACGAAGGTCGTCTTCGCAATCTTCTACCTAAAGTGACAAATTCTATAGTGCATCAAATCAAAGAAAAATGCATTCAGCCAAAACATTCTACATGCAATCTCAACTGGCATATGACAAGAAAAGAGTATAGCTAAAGCGGTCATCCTCATTCGGCTCCCGCCAAGTGTCAACCGACGACAGCCTGGTGAGCCAGCCCCTCCATTCTCTTGCGACGGGTCAATGTCTGGCATAGTGCCTCCGAATTCTCGAATTCAAGATGTCGATCTGAGCCTAAGGACAGCATTTAGGAACAGTTTTCGTGGAAGAGAGAGCTAAATACAAACCTCGCTGAGCATCTGCGGGACTATCACCGTCCATTGCTCGTAGAAATACTAAATGGTATTCTGTCAGAGCACTGTATAATTGGGAAAGGTTCTACATTGGCATACCGACTCAATAACAAAGTCATTGCTCCCCAGCATCTCTCTGAGATACTTCTCAAGAAGTTTTCGGCCATTGTATCTAATAGGGAGTACCTGCCTGTGGCGACTCATTTTCATGGACTCAGGCTTGCCAGTAGGGGACGAAAGGGGGAACTGTTTCGCAACTATGACTCAGAGAAGAGGAAGAAGGTTCAAAACTGTTGACCTTCAAAGCTCAACCTTACGAACCTATTCTTCCAATTTTATAGACACCCTTATCCTTGTTAATCTTGCCTTATGTACACGTACGAGGACGCCTTGCAATCTATAGTCAGCAAACCTCATGACACCCGTGTTGGAGGCTTGTACTTTAGGGAAATAGTTTCCTTCCAATAGATGTGCTATCCTGCATCATCACTGCAGGCTATGCTGACAGGCAGATGATAGCCTCGGAATGTGCACACATGAAGCAGGCTCTAACCACGAGTGTGGATCAAGGCGGACAGTCGCCCATGCACATTCGAAGGCAGACTAGAGGCTGTGCTGATGCCCATTGCAATGCGTGTATTTCTCCAACTACTGCAGAACGCCCAATGATCGTCAAAATACCCCGCTATTGCGGCAGGCAGATATGACGGGGTAATGCATCAGCTCTCCTTCTTATGACTATAGCTATATTCCGTGAGAGGAACTCGATTCCGAAGAAATTGTATCAAAAGACTATTTTGACTTCTATGAACTATCATAATGGATTGGTTACGCTCAGATAACAGTCTGTGGGACAAGAATATGGATATTATGGACTTCATACCAGCCGAGAGTACGGTCTTAGTAGTCGCAAAACAAGCAAAAGTTCGCATCACCAGGCACAAGACGCTTCATATTCTACGGCTGATTTATTGTTGGAAATAGACCGAGCTGCATGCACAGGACTATCCTTTAAAATCCGAGGAGGACTGGGAAGACTGGCTTAACCAAGCAAGTATCATCAAGTGTTTGTTCGCAGATCTAACTAACCCCCTTAAAGCATCATCATCAACCTAACGCGCAGAATGCGACGACTATCAAATTGATGTAAGATTATTAGCCCTTAAGCTAAGTAGTGGTTGACATCCGTGATACTAATATTATCGCAGACTCGGCGCGAGGGCTGATACAGGGGCCTTCGATCCTGCTGTACTGTCATATCTACCCTTTTCAGAGGGCACATTCCAGAAACTGATAAAGGAATTCAAAATCCATGGAACAATTGCGAGAACCATAAATCGTAACACCAGTTGCGCGTTTATTAGGAAATTCCACTGTTGGGATTCTCCCACTGAACGATCACTAGGTTCGTAATTACAACCCAAATATCTCGCAACCCCTATAATACGTGCTATCTTTCGACGTCAACTACAAGTCTCTAACTCCTCTTTTAGTATACAATTGCAGGTCCAACGCGTCGTGGGAAGGCGACCTGGGCCTGTCCGTGACCTTTACCCCTCGCACTATGACCACTCACGCCGTTATGTATGGCTGTGATGCCGAAACCACAGAGGAAATAGTGAGGCGCTTATCAGGCTCCGACTTACCTTCGCTTCATCCCATGGTCCTCGTAGTTCTCTTCGCGGAGCTTGAAAGGGACAGGTTAGACAGACTTGTGAGAAACAAGATCAGCCGGCTCATTCAACAAATCATCAGAATCTCGGACAACAACAACTTTACCCAGACTACAGATGATAAGACCATGCCACCACTCTCTCCCTCTTTAGCAACATCGATCAAAGACTGGCTAGAGATGGGAGATCTACGCAATGGACTACAGGCATTCAAGCGTAAAATGTGTGACATGACAGAACACATCGACGAATTTCAAGACAGGCTACTCAATCCTAAAAGAGACAAATCTGGCTTCGCTGCCAGCTTAGACCCGGACACGCTCGAGGGGCTCAGAGAGACAGGCACGAAGATGAAAGAGCGTCTCAAGCATCTCATCGACGAGTTCGACGAGCACATCCGAAAATGCGCGAACATCATCGAAGGCGTAGGACTCGCATCCCAACTAGTAACGACCCCTTTTCATTCTCTTTTGGCCCCCAATCCCTTATCAATAAAAGATGTTTTAACCATGTGCTCTTGATAGGAATGGAACCAGATAGGCCGCAAGGACACATTCACGAACCTGCAAATCGCGCACAACGGGCTGAAGGTAGCGCAGCACACGCGCCGAGACAGCGAGTTGATGAAGTCCATTGCGCTGCTGACCATGGTGTTTCTCCCGGCTACATTCGTGGCGGTACGTTTGCCAACACCCCGTCCCTATAACGCCGCATCACACTCCCTGTAAACTCCAGCCTCTAGCACCCCCTATCCCCTATCCCCTATCCCCAACCCCAACCCCAACCCCAACCCCAACACCCCCAAAGCAATCCAAAACACCCCCCTCTAACCTTCCGCCCTCAGACGCTCTTCTCAATGGGGATATTCTCCTGGAAAGGCCCGCGCGGCGAAATCCTAAGCGTGAGCCCGTGGATATGGCTATACGTCGCCGTCACGGTGGCCATCACCTCCGTGACGCTGGGGACGTGGTATCTGTGGGTGATGCGGCGACGTCGTCGCGCCGCGTCTCATAACGATGATAACGACAATAACGACAAAGTTGAAGAAGATCTCGAGGCGCAGATACAGTCTGCGCCGAGTGAGAAGGGGACGTTTAGGTCTAGTACGACTGCTTTTACGCAGACTTCGTAGGCGGGAAGGGGAAAGGAATGCGCGAGGGGTCTGGGAGGTAGAATAGGACGGCGTGCGGCGGGGTAGGTTATGTTTTTCTTTTTTTTTCTTGACCTGGTTCGGGTCTTTTATCTGCTATTAGGTATGTGTGTTTTGACACGGCGGTCTCACGACGATCCAGGGCTTGGCGGCGAGGTAGTAAATGTTCAAGAGTACTTATGAGAGAACACAAATCAGATAAGCCATCAGTCTTTCACATGATTTGATATTTCGCGAGAATATATTGATAGTCTGGTTTACTATTACTTCGGTTGGTGTCGTGTTTTCACTAAATCAACGTCAGGTATCATTGCATAAGCCCCTTAAATCCTACCAATGACGACAAGTACAATAGCATCAAAAACCCATCTAATCAATCTCGAGCAACTTGTACTTGTTATCTCCCAGAGCATCTTCCACCCTCTTCATAAGAGCCAAGACCTTCTCCTCTTCCAGCCTGCGTCCGACGACCTGGATAGCTACAGGCAAGCCATGCATATCGTTAGCATCGTACAGCTTATACGCCCCTTGGGCAACACCGTTGAGTTTCCGAATGTCGAATCCCGAGGGTAATTGGTCGCGGTTCTTGTCGACGTGAGTAATGGGGACGCAACCAGCAGTATAATCGAGCTATGACAATTAGCGTCACACGGAAGCGCAGTCGAGATACACACGACATCAAAATATACAAATGGAACTCACCACATTGAAAAGGAACGTGTATCCGCAGCTGCTGACCGCGTCTTTCATGCCATCATGCGGGACAGCAGGCGTAGCATTCGTATGCGTGAGGATGCAGTCAATATCGACTTGATTCCACCACTCGAACCACTTACTCCGGTACGCCTCGCGCTTAGCAACGAGCTGCCAGTTCTCGTACGCAGTCTTCTGGTGCCAGCCCTGGATGAGTCCAGCCCATATATCGTCTCTCCGGACATACTTCACCCAGAGATAGTAGATGTACTTCAGCGGCCGCGAAAGCCGCATTAACCAGTCCAGCTGGTCTGCTCCGGGATCATTCCACTCGCCAAATCGCATGAAGGACTTGAACATCTGGCAGCCGTCGGCGTTCAGCAGATGCGCGCCGAGATACAGCGCCTCGTAAGGTGACGGCGGATCGATCTCCACGATTTCGTGACCGGCAAGTTTCATCGCTGCTTCCGCTTCTTCGAGAGCCCGTTGGCAGGCCGGGCTCGGGTCTACCACGCCATCGGTCCGCAAGATGCCTATGCGGAGCTTGCTCTTTGCCGCATACTCTTTCTCGATTTCGGGTCGCCAAGCGAGGGGATGGACGGAGTAGTCGTATTTCCAGGGTTGCATGCCGACGACAGCGCGAGTGAAGTACGTCAAGTCGTTCAGCGTTCGGGTCATCGGGCTGTAGACGCTTGGGACACCTTCTTGGCCCGGCATGCTCGTCGAGAAGCCTGCCTTCGGCCATCGCCCGGTTGAGCATCTCAGTGAGTAGATACCGGAGAAATGAGCCGGCGCCCTGACACTCCCAGCTACATCGCTGCCAATGCCTATCCGCCCACCCAAGGCCAGAAGCGCCGATTCACCGCCCGTCGATCCACCAGGTGAGTACTTGCTGTTGTGAGGGTTCGTGCACCGTCCCCAGACATCGTTAGTAGACTCGAAACTGAGAAGTGTAATGGGAAGGTTTGTCTTGACGTAAGGCACAGCCCCAGCATCCTTGAGTAATCGCACTGTCGGGCCGTCCTCGGCATATTTCTTGCCGACAAAACTGCTGAAGCCGACAGTCGAGTCGAAGCCTCCGACGTTGATAGTATCCTTCAAGCTTATTGGTATTCCAGCCAGGGGTCCCTTGAAGTTAATCGAGCCGTCCCGGATCCAGCCCTCGGCCTCGGAGATCATGACCTCAGTGACGCAATTGGTCTTCTCATGAGCTTTTAACGCCACCTTGCCGTACGTGTCGAGCAGAGTGGCGGGTTGCAGCGCGCCTTTGTGGACATCCTCGACGAGTTCTTCGATTGGCCTGTCTATGATTTGGCGATCTGAGGGTGTGAAGGGTCCGCGATATCGGCTGAGGGCCTTGATTCGCTCAATCCGCTCATTCTGCTTGAATTGGCTACTGATGTGTAAGCCGATGTGAACTTGTACATAATGAATATGAAAATGCTTAGTCATAGGCGGAATTGAGACACCGGAACCTGAAGCTTACCAGTCGCGTTTATGTTGGAGATAATCGAGAAAGAACACCATATTGTCAGACAAGGGAGCGGATAGCAAGGTCTAAGACAGGATTGACTGTTTGTCTGGTGTGATATAGCATGCCGAGGCAGGCCACTACCTAGCTGAACGATGAGGGGAAATGGAGAAGCCGGGGTCGAGAGTGTAAGTAAATACCGAGACGGGCCGGGGGTATAAGGAGTTCCGCAACTGAACAAACACGCAGAGAACAAAGCGATTATTCAGACCGGGTGGTTGATTGAACTATGTACTATGTAGGAGGAGTCCATAGACATGGGAAGTGAAGAATATGAGGTGATAATTACTCTCCCCGCAGCTTATCGGAGAGGTTATACCTATTCCCTGCTGCTTCCCTCAGGCTTTTATCAACGGACCCCCGGCTTCCTTTCCGGCTCTATCTCTTCCCCATACTTCCCAAAGTACCTACTCTAATCCTAATCTCACCGCGTCCGATCCGGGCACATCAATAGATAAGTAGGCAGGCAGACAGGTCCAAACAGGCCGAAGATAGCAATGCGCAACCGTTCCTAGCCGTCCACCATACCCCTTCAGTATCGGTTCTGAATGTATCGGCCCTTGGCGAGCCGCGTGGGACTTCCCCACAAGGGAAATGGGGTATTCCCCGGCTTGCTAATCCTTGGCTTTTAACCAGGATTACCTATATTGTAACTATTAGGGCACCGCTGTCTAAGTAGTCGATCAGTTGATACACATCTCGCTGGAGCCGAACATCGGCTGGCGATACTTGCATGCTGGTATACTTCGTATGTAGAGATGAATGGTGAACATCGTGCAACTCACAGTCCCCTGTTTCGCGAATGATCGGACGTTCTGGATATTGAGACTATTATACGGTGCATGACACAATATATGTAGTTATATACTGACATTAGTTTCATATACAAATCTCATTTGTCCCTTTGCTGTGAACCCGTGTTAGCCAACCTTACCCTAGAAACGAGCCCCTCACCAGCTTCCACTCTAGATGATGAGGCTCAGCTGTGTAACGACTGGACTGGTTCCATCAGGCATCAAGCTATAAGTGGATAAGTAGAGAGCTATCTGCTAGGTAACTAGGATTCTTCAATTCCCTAATTGTCAATTACGTAGTTCACTATAAGGTACACGAACAGTAGGAGCGAGCTCTCAATAATGTCCCCTGAAAACAAATCATCATACTCTCCGCAGCGAACAGGGTCCTGGCTCGTGTGCAAAACATGCGGGACCCAATTCCCCACGGACGACAAGAGCAAAGTGACGACGTGCTTCATCTGCGACGACCCGCGGCAATACGTGCCGCCCAGCGGGCAATCCTTCACCTCGCTCTCCGCGCTGCGCAGCAGCGGGAAACACAAGAACGTCTTCACGCCGATAGCCGCGGACCCAGAGCATCTTGTCGCCATCGCGACGTCGCCCAAGGTCGGCATCGGACAGCGCGCCATTCTCGTCCGGACGGGCCAGGGAAACGTGCTATGGGATTGCATCACGCTTCTCGACGACGAGACGATTGCCAGAGTGAACGACCTAGGCGGGATAAACGCCATCGTGATCTCGCACCCGCACTACTACTCCACACATCTGGAATGGGCGCGCGTATTCGATTGCCCCGTGTACCTCGCGGGGGAAGACAAGGAGTGGTTAGCACAGCGCGATTCGGAGCGGCAGATCTTCGTCTCCGAGGTAGAGACGCAGGTCCACGGGACCACGGTGCTGAAACTGGGGGGGCATTTCCCCGGTTCCTTGGTCATGTTATACGAGGGCAAGTTATTGATCGCGGATACCTTTTTCGCGACGCCGTCGGGGCTGGGGAACTGGGATGCGGACGCGCTGGGCGCCGCGCGCGGGCGGCCGGCGGAGATGAGCAGTTTCGCTTTCATGTGGAGTTATCCGAATATGATCCCGCTTGCGCCTGATGCTCTCGAGGCGATGTGGGCCGTGTTGAAGAGGTATGAGTTTGGGAGTACGCATGGTGCGTTCCCGGGGATGGATATTGTTAAGACGCCGAGGGAGATGAAGAAGAGGGTGTTGGAGAGCATGCAGATACAGATCAGGTATTCTGGGCACGGGGAACATGCGATGTTGAAAGAGAGTATTGCATGATGGCGGAGGGATTGTAATGGGGTAAAATGAGTCTGTTGATTTTGTTCGCTCTCTGTTTAATCATAATCATATTTTGATTATCGCAAGGCCAATCCCTGTCGAAGCCATGCTGATGCAGCGTACTTCCTCTCCCAAGTTTGGACTCATGTACCATGCCTGGACTATATACAGAATTACATGTACGATTTTATAACTTGCTCTCACCAGCCTGAGGGACCTTGACCACAACTTTGCCCCAAGACTCTCTGCCACCGAGGGCAACGAGGGCATCAGGAATCGCCTCAAGGCCGACGAATTCTTTATCCGTGAAGACAGTACTCTTGAACTTGCCCTGCTCAATAAGCCTGCCGATCCCCTTCCACACAACAGGAACGCTTTCCTTCTCGAATTTAGCATACATGCCCCAATGGATTCCTACAAGTGATATGTTCTTTAGCAGCACCTTGTTCATGGCAACCTTTTCAATGGAACCCGCAGCGAAGCCGACAACGAGGATCCGTCCGTTCCATGCAACGCACTTGGTGCTTTTATCAACTAGACCAACAGGGTCGTACACGATATCGACACCCCGGCCTTTAGGTGTGAGTTTGCGCACTTGATCCGGCCACGACGCATCACGGTAATCAACGACATGGTCAGCGCCAAAAGCACGTGCAACCTCAAGCTTCCGCGGTGTCCCTGCCGTCGCGATCACCGTAGCGCCGAATGCCTTCGCGATTTGGACGGCGGCGAGACCGACACCACCTGCGGCGGCATGGACGAGGACCCAATCTCCGGCTTTCACGCCGGCGCGTAGGACCAGGGCGCCGTAGCTGGTGGGGGCTGTCACGAAGAGACCCGCTGCATCCGTGAAGGACCAGCCTTGCGGCACGGGGAGCAGCTGTTCTTCGGTGGCACACACCTTCGTCGCGTAGGCGCCTTGGCTGGCGCCGAATACGCGACTGCCGACGGGGAACTTGGGTGATTTGGAGTTTGCAGGAGCCGCGAGAACGACACCCGAGTACTCTGCGCCAGATACCCAAGGAAATGCTGGGTTAAAATTGAATGATCAGTAACGTGAAGAATCCGGATGGGCATGACTGATATTATTGCATACGAGGCTGGTGTTGATATTTCCCCTGAATCTGGAGAATATCAAAAAAGTTGGTGGCTGCGGCGTGTACCTCGATGAGATATTGGTCGGGTGACGGCTTGGGGTCAGCAAGCTCGGTCACTTTGAGGTCCTTGGGCCCCTTCAGAAGGTTTTCATATCAGCTTTCAGTTCTCGTAATGGACACAGCAACATCTGCTTACCTTGACATATTCAGCAACCTGGATGCCCCGCATCGTACATACAATACAATAAGACAGTTGGATGAAATATACAAGACGGAAAACAGCGACACGGGAAGTTCAGATTACGAAGCCTGTTGATTCTCTCGGGTATAGATACAAAACAATATCATCAAAGAATAGCAAGAACCATGAGAGATGTGAAGTGTCGATGAGGTTGGAAGAGGGTACCTACCTTGCTGAGAGAGGCAGGTTACCGAGCTGGCAGCCTCGGTATCGACGTGATTGGCCCCCAAGTGTCATGGGAAACCGGGTCTTTGCCATTTCGGGTATTGGAAAAGCGCATCATCTCAAATAGGGACCCCCATTTCGACATGTTGCAGCGACTTTCCCTAGATGATATCAAACAGGAATTGAAAAAGCGTATAAATTTGTAGAGGGCGCCGTTGAGTTGAAATTTCAAGTGAAGCAGTACGGTAGTACCTGTCGGTAATATGTAGGTACTTACTCTCAGTAAGTAGGTAGGCTCGGTAGGTTTCCGATACCAAGAGACAGACCCTTGAACCCGCGCTTAGTTAGCTAACTGTTCACTATCTGCATGGATACAGGTCATATTTGTTAATTTAGGTAGTATCTGTGTACAGACTGTGGTACAACATCTTCAATAGCTGGTGACTCCTACTTCGTAAGTAGTTGTACGCTATGTGCAGACTATGTGGATGACGCCAGATAGGTATTCGAAAGCGATAGATGCCAAGAGAATGGAACGGATGGACGAGTTGGTGGGGGTTTGGGATCTGGGCTCGCACGAACAGTGGCTGGAGGCGAAGGCCAGGTAGCCTGCCTCGCCTGCCTCCCTTTACAGGCTACGACCTAAGTAAGGTGGCCATGACAGGGAGGTCTCTTGCTTGAGGTCTTCAAGGTTATTATGTTTGTCTCCCGAGGCCGCCCATGGTAGGTAAGTGTGAGGTCCCAACACATAGGTAGGTTCAAAGCATTGAACTCAACTCATCCTTTATTTAGAAGCTGGGCCCCTGATGTAAGGAAGAACATTTCAAGTGTATCATCGTTGCCCTTCCATCTGTGTCCAACGACTTCTTTGTCCTACTTCAAATCACCGCCCGCGCGCCTGTATCACCATCACGACCTGGTACTTAGGTAGGATGTTTGTGGGTGGGTCCAGCCTCAACGAACACAGGATAAATAATAAATGAATTATATACATATATGTACCTATTACTACCTACTATCCATTGTAGAGTACCTAACATGCTTCCCTTTGAACATATAAAAGAGCACATCGTGACTACAGTAGTGACTGAGGACTGAGGGAGACTTGAGTGTTTGGACACTTCGTATCTACAGTACTAGGTACCTAAGGTAGGTACCTAAGGCCATGTCCTGTGTCTGCCTGTGCATACCTACCTAGGTAGGTACTTAGGTACACCATCCGCCAACAGTTTTTGCCCCACCAACATATCCGCAACCTGATCCGCCCCATCATCATCAGGTTCGCTTCTGGCTACTTGGTCGCTACTTTGCATCCCTACTTACACAGCCGGCCTACCTCGAACCAACCGACCTTAAACCTCCACACCAAAGTAAGATTGATTATTATCACCACCTACGGGATATCTGTATCTCCCCTCGCTTTCCCTTTCTGCGGGCTTCCTTACTATCCCTCTGCCTCTCTGCCTCTCTGCCTCTCTGCCCCTCTGTCCTCTTCTCCCCTGCTCCTCCGTGTTGCCGTGCGTCGCAGTCATACGTGGTAGACTGTACCTACTAGCCAGGGTATGTATATATATGTATCTAGATCATCCCAACTAACCAACATACCTACCTACCCCATCGTCCCCGTTATTGGCTCGCAGGCTTATCATACCTCTCTCCATACAGCCACCAGGAATCAAGTGTCGTTTCGCAATCGCCCATTCCTCTCAGCGCCTACCGCCTCACTGCAGCTTCACACATTGCGCAATGGCCGACGCAGCCGAGGGAGCCCAAGGCGACTCCCACGTCACCTTCAAGGTGAAGACCTCGGGCGACAGACAGCATACCATTACCATGGCCGAGTCTGCCACTGTCGCCGACCTCAAGGCGAAACTCGCCGGTGCCGATTTCGAAGACATCCCGCCCGAGCGCCAGCGCCTCATCTACTCGGGCCGCGTCCTGAAGAACGAGGAACCCCTCAGCACCTACAAGATCAAGCCTGGGAACACTGTCCACCTGGTCAAGAGCGCCGCCAGTAATCCCGCCCCGGCCCCCTCCTCGTCCTCCACTTCAACCCCCGCCGCACCTCAGATCCCCACCAACATGGCTGCCGGCACCGCCAACAACCCTCTGGCCGGCCTGACTGGCGCGCGCTATGCTGGCTTGACCAACTTGCCTTCGGCCGACATGTTCGGTCCCGACGGGGGTGTAAGTAAAGCCCCTATCTATCATCACCAACAACAACTATTACTATTATTACCACCAATAGTAGACTCTGACATGCATCGCTAACGACGGTTACCTGTTCATAGATGGTGGGGTCGATGATGGACGAAGATCAACTGGCCAATATGCTCAACAATCCCCACGTTGCCCAGCAGATGAACGAAATGATGAACAACGACCAATTCATCGACATGATGATTCAATCTAACCCGATGCTACGCAACAACCCTAATGCCCGTGAGATGGTTCGCTCACCATTTTTCCGTCAGATGATGACCAACCCAGATGCCCTTAGAAGTGCAGCTCGGATACAACGCATGATCAGAGGTAATAGCGGCGGCCAAGGCGCCTTCCCCATGCCTGGCGTAACAGACACCACACCTGGCGCCGCGAACAATAATAATAACAATGCTACAAACATGGGTGGCACAGAAGAGAGCCCGCAGGAAATGCTCGCGACTCTGCAATCCCAACTTAGTGCCCTCCAGAACCTCCAGTCTCTCCAGTCCCGTTCTCTAGCGCGAGAAAACACGGGCACTCAGGCGACCAACAACAACACTTCCACAAACAGCAATGCTAGCGGCGCTTCGCCCACGCCAGGTGCGCAAGGTGCCTCAAGCCCACCACCTAACCCATTCGCCAGCCTATTCGGCGGCCTTGGCGGCAGCCTCGGCGCAGACCAGAATGCTGCAAACAATCCTCTCGGTCTGCCGCCTATGAACCCGGAGAACCTGCAACAGATGATGCAGCTCCTAGGAATGGGCGGCGGCGCAGGCTCGCCACCAGCTCCCCCAGACAACCGACCGCCCGAGGAGCGATACGCAGAACAACTGCGTCAACTTAACGAAATGGGCTTTTATGATTTCGATCGGAACGTCGCAGCGCTGCGACGCAGTGGCGGCAGTGTACAGGGCGCCATCGAGCACCTTCTAAGCTCGTAGAGTGAGCCTTGGTTAGTTTGGAGGTGCCAGTAGTGCATCGTACCAGACTTCACGACCAGTTCCGGCATAGTTGTTGTTTTTAGGGGATTAACCTCGGCGGCGAACCTGGCGCGGTTTTTTGCAATCGACACGAAAGCAAAGGGGGAGGGACTTGGTAGCGTCGCGATAACATTACAAAAAGTACAATATCATATCATTGAGGCGACTATGCGCGCCTGATGGCATAGCTTCGGTTAGGATCGGCCCTGTCATGTGAATAAGTATCCTCTTATGAGGCAAGGAAGGGCGAGGCTTCTGACACCATGGATTGAACATAAAGGGTTGAATCCCTTGTGAATAGTGCTAGAGATGGCATTCCTACGGTATCGTCAGCTCCATCATGTCTACTTAGATACCTAATCGAGTGAGCGAGACAAAGTGGAGTAGCGCTCGACATAATATTATTGCCACTTGGCGTGGATTCTATCTAAAGGCTGCAATAATTTTTTCTGGAACGAGAGACCTTTACATGGAATAAGTACACCCTAGCTTTAGACCTACAATATGTCATTAACTGTCGAGATGATGCGATTTTGAGAAGTGGTTGTAGAATGGTGATGAGGCGGTATGCTAGGACCCCTGTAGTGGTGCGTTAATGGTGCCATTGAGCTACCCTGGACTTGGGTGTCTTTAGGGGACTTGAGGTAACATTTGAAACGGAGCAGGTATCGAGGTACTTGGCACTGCACCTTTGACGGTAGAATATCTAGGTATCTCTACTTGATACAGGCCCCCCTGCCGCACCTGCTTAACGTGTAAGTCGTAAGTAGGTAAACTTTAGCATTGATAATATACCTTCCACTTCTACTCATACAATACCTCTTTCAAGTACCTTTTATAGACCGCCAACAGATTTCACTATTGTGAGCGAGGCCGCTGGTCTCTTACCGTTCTTCAATATGAACGGGAATGCAGCAGAGACGCTGTCCTTGGACGCAGGTTAGAGAGCAAGCTCCAGCATAGCCGAGACCCTTAAACCATCGCCAGAGAGACTGACGTAGCCACATATCCGTGCAACAACAGCTGACTACGATCCCATACAACACCTCAACCTGCTCTTCGCCCATCCCTCGACCGTCTCTTCCATTCGCTCCGTGTCCTCGAAGCTACAGTCCGAGCAACATGCTCTCGACACCCAGATCGCTGCTCGCCAGATGGCACAGGCCTACGGGCCCGACTCGTCACTCGAGCGCATGCAGTCCGCCCAGGCAGAGCTAGGAGAGCTGTTCCGCAAGATCGAGACAGTTCGCGCCCGCGCAATCCAGACCGAGCAGAACATCACCTCCATGACCGCCGACATCAAGCGCCTTGATGGCACCAAGAAGAACCTCACACTATCTATGACCGCCCTCAAGCGGCTGCAGATGTTGACCACGGCCTACGAACAGCTTCGCGGCCTAGCCAAGACACGTCAATATCGCGAGTGCGCCTCGCTCCTACAGGCCGTCATACAGCTCATGCGCCACTTCAACAGCTATCGTAGCATTGACCAGATTGCTACCCTCAGCCGTGGCGTGGGTGAGGTCCAGCGCGAGCTGCTGGAGCAAGTCTGCGAGGACTTCGAGATAGCATTTGCTAAGGGCGAGGTCGTGGGGAGGAAAGCTACCCTGGTTGAGGCATGCGGTGTCATGGACGCCTTGGGCGATACTGCACGGGCACGACTTATCACCTGGTATGTGAACACGGAACTACGTGAATACCGTCAGGTCTTCAGAGGCAACGATGAAGCAGGTAGCCTTGACAATATCGGACGACGGTATGCGTGGTTCAAGCGGATGATGAAGGGATATGAAGAGGAGCACGCTTCAATCTTTCCCCCTCACTGGCGGGTCGGCGAGACACTTGCCATGGCATTTTGCGATGGTACAAGGGACGATTACAAGGGCATATTAGAGAAGAGCATGCGCAAGGTTGACGGTGCCAAGATCGATGTGAATCTGCTTCTCAGCTGCCTTCAGGAGACAATGGACTTCGAGCAGAGTATAGAAAGGAGGTTTTCAAGCGAGCCGAGGGCGAGCATCGACACGCTAAGCTCGGCAGACGAGAGGACGCAAAATTTTAACGGGTCTATATCTGTGGCCTTTGAGCCGTACTTGAGTTTATGGGTTGAATCCCAAGACAAGGCTCTGGCAGCCATGATCCCCAAGTACAAAGCTCAACCATTACTACCTCCCGATGAGGAGTTCTCACCGCAGGCCGTCATCAGCTCTGCTATCGAACTGTTTCACTTTTATAAACTTACGCTATCACAGTGTGCCAAGTTATCCACGAGCGAGCGGTTACTGGATCTCGCAAAAACGTTGGCCAAGTACTTGGACGAGTACGCCCAGCAAGTATTGCTTGCGGTCTTGCAACGACCAGCTCAGACAGCTGCATCTATACAAGACATCATTCTTGTCATGAACACGGCAGACTTTTGGCATACCAATACGGGGCAGCTCGAGGAAAACATCAAGAAACGGATCGATAGCGAGCTCGTGTCTAAAGTCGATCTCACATCTCAAGCCGACGCGTTCCTTGGTGTCGCAAGCACAGCCGTTCTAGCACTAGTTAACAAAGTAGAAGCAGATTGCGAGGGGGCATGGCGTGAGATGAAGAACACGAATTGGAGCAAGATGGAGAGTGTGGGAGACCAAAGCTCCTATGTCAGCGAGCTCGTTTCTCATGTAAATGCCAAGGCCGAGGAAATACTATCCATTGTCACGAAGCCTCAGTATGCGCGAGCATTCGCCGATAACCTGGTCGAGCATATCGCCAACACATACATTGCCAACATCGTTCAGTGCCGGCCAGTTTCCGAAGTTGGTGCAGAACAGGTATATCTCGCATTTAACCTATGTGTGCTTTCATACCAAATCTACAAGAATGCTAACGAACATACCTAGATGCTCCTCGACAAATACGTACTCACCAAAGCCTTTGAGAACCTCCTATCCTACCACAACGCCTCCTCATCCTCTACATCTCAAAATCCTCCCGCCAGCTTCGTCAAGCGCGTCAACAACACCATGACGCGCATCGACCCCCTTCTCAAAACCCTGCAAGTCCGCCCCTCGCCTCCTGAAGGCCTCGTGCAGGCGTACTTGATCCACATCGGCGACCGCTCCGACACCAATTTCAAGAAGATCCTCGAGCTCAAGGGCGTGCGCAAGGTCGATCAACCGCATCTCGTAGAATTATTCGGCATCCACCGCGACGCGACGCCCTCGACGGGCGGGAATAAGCTCGTCGCGCAGAGCCCACTGCTCACTCCTCTTCTGACGACCTCCGGCCTCGGATCATCCAGTCTTGTCGGCGGCGCCACTGCTGCTGCTGCCGCTGCCGCCGCCGCGGCGCCGACAGCGCGATTTGATCCTACGAGTCTAGGGGAGAAATTACTCTCTGCTGCCGTGGAACGCATGGGCACGCCGCAGGCGGGCGGATCAGCGGGTGCCACGGGTCTAGGAATAGGAGTGGGACAGAATAACGCAGCGAGTATTAATGAGAATCTGAAGAATTTCGGAAAGTTCTTCAGACGGGATATAGCGATCGCTGGCCTCGGCGCGAGGTTCGGGAAGAGGGATGTCAGTGGTAGTGGGGGAAATGATTAGACCATTGCATAACTACTTACTTGCAAAGTAGGTATGAAGAGAATAATGAGAGTGAGTTTCAGTTCGATTTCTTTTCCGCTGTACTGATAGGGAATCAAGCGCGGATTCTAGAGGCGAAGCGCCCGTTTTATATCTTTCTATTGTGATAACTTATACGGCTTGATTGATTTGATAGAGACAAAAAATGGTTTACTTTATATACGATACGGGTTTATATTGGATACACGGCTAGGGCACTTGCTCCGATTTTGCAAGCGAAGACCATCTCTTCATTCGGATCCCTTTCTTTTTTTCAGGCCTCGGCATAATGCGGTACAGACAGTCTCCTGCAAAGGGGTGTCATCCTGGTTTCTTGTCCTCGCGACTCATACAGCTCAGTTCAGCTCAAGGTCATCCTGCATCTTAGTATCTCGTGCCCTTTACATCAGCGAGCGAGCGCGTTACACTTTTCCAACCCGGAGCATCCGTGATAGCCAGCCCTCGTGATTTCCTCCCCCGCAAGAAAAAACGATATCAACCTGAGAAATGCGTATTTCATCGCGAATTCTTAGGCGTTCCAGACACGCTTGATAGCCTCGGTGACACCAACGTCATTCGTCTCGAACTCGTACAGTCCAATACCGGCAAGGACAGTCGCGATATTGAGAAGCCAGATCGAAGCTTTATAGGCGCCGCCGTACTTGCGCTGAGGGATGTAGTCGATGATGATGGACTGGGCGCCGGCGTGGGAGTGCACGAGGAGCAGTGCGCAGAGGATCGCGTCGAGGGCCGGGTTCAGAGAGCCCGCGGCGAATGGCGCGACTGTTAGGGGTACTAGGCCTGCGGCTACGAGGCGCTCGAAGGTCCAGTGGTAGGAGCCGTGGGTGGGGCTCGGGTCGGGGACGGGGGCGGCGTCGTTGACTGTGCGGTGGTGTTAGTTATCGCAGAGATATATGCTTGCTTGATTATGCGCCGGGCGATGGAGAGGAATTGCTTGAGGGTTTGCTCATCGGTGTTTTATCTAGTGTGCTGATAATGGAATGGAATGTTAATCGAGTGGCACGTACCAGTTCCCCTAATAACCTCTGTCGTAGCAACACGTTAGCAAAATTCTATATAGAATTCACGGGGAAGGGAGGACGCTGCAATCATTGGTTGACACGTACGAGGTCCCGGAGGGAGAAGACTTCTCCGGCTAGAGGCGTGGAAAGCAGCTACGCGGACAGCGGCATCCTTGGTCACCAGGGCGGATTGGAAAGGCGATGGCGATGTCCTTGAGAGAATGGGTCGGGTGGGAGCGGCTGCGCGGAGGGCTGTTTGCCTCAGCAGCGTGGGACGGATGGCTGAGGCCATTGTGAATTTGCTGTGTATGATTGAGTGAGGGGATTCGGAAAGAGGCGGCACCCAAGAGTGCTTGCGAAGGTTTCCCGGTGGATAAGTATCAGTTGGCGATGGGGAGAGGTCGACGCTTGCGCTCGAGGGTGTTTGCAGGCTTCTTGGTACGTTGGGAAGTAGAGGTAGCTGTCGAACCTCAGTCAGGCACACTCGGTCAGTCAGTAATTGTCGAAGATTGATTGATTGACTGACTCTGAATGGGCGATGATGCAGTGGATTCCGAGGTTTGGGCTATGATTGGCCCCTGGCTGGAGTGCTTGGAGTCAAGATTGCCGAGGACAATTGGAGTCAACGTGATTGGCTGGTTCTTCCCCGGCTTTGCTCCTTGTTTTTTAGGCCTTCCATGATGGCATATGAAGATGCTCGTAGATGCATGACCCCCGATTAAGATATGGATGTTGTACCTGATAGATAGGTATGCATATATCAGGATAGTCCCTAAGAGGGTCAGGACTAGCAGATAAAATCGTAGTTAGACTAGATAGATGGCTCCACAGAAAAGTTAGGATGCCAAGCAGCGACCCTCACAAATTGAAGCCGTTCACCACCGTCTTCAGTCACCCCGAACTATTCATACCTTCATGCATAGGGCTTGACTTGTTTTGTTTGAGCCAGCTTTCTTCTTCCCCATGCCCTAAGATCCTCCAATCGAGAGCTACGAGGCTCTTGACTTACCCGTTTTACACCTAACCTCATCATCGCAACGCAATCTAGACCACCAACTGCCGCCATGTTCACACGAGCTTTGCAGACGGCCTCGAGCCTGTCGCGCAGGAATCTTTGTCGCACATGTCTCCTCCGATCCATCGCCGCACCCCGTCAACACCGGCGCCCTCTACATCTCAGTACCATCGCCAAGCGGGATGCAGCGCAAGAGGCTTGGGACCAGAGGGCCGAAAGAATAAAAAATGGAGAGGAGCCGAATCTATGGACTAGCTTCAAGGAGCGTGGATATGTCAAAGACATTGCTGGGTACGGAAGACTTTGATTACACTATACGACATCGCCCACCCCTCTATCTTATTTTCGCCTTTACTAATTGATATACGTCTATAGTACGGACGAACAAATCAGCGAGCTCATGAGGCGCAAGAGAATAGGCGTATACGTCGGCATCGATCCTACTGCTGCTTCACTCCACCTCGGCCACCTGCTTCCCCTGATGCCCGTGTTTTGGATGTATATGCATGGATACCGAGCTATCACTATGATCGGAGGAGCAACGGCCAAGGTGGGGGATCCAACCGACCGGCTCCAGACCAGAGAGGATATGCCTAGGGCCGACAGCGCAATGTACACCACCAAGATGCACTACCAATTAAAACGTATATGGCAGAATGTCGACAAGCAGGCCGCTAGATATGGCTACCAAAAAGAATGGGCCTGGAATCGCGAGCTTCTAAACAATAGCACCTGGTTCAGCTCAAGCTCCTTTATAGAGGTCGTCAACCGTTTATTCAAGAGAATGCGGGTTGGTCCGATGTTGGCACGTGAAACTGTCAAAAGAAAGATGACGGAGGGCGATGGCGTGTCTCTTGCCGAATTTGTCTATCCTATGATGCAAGCTTGGGACTTTTGGAAGATGTTCTCCGGCCCGAAAGGGGTATGCATGCAGGTAGGAGGTTCCGATCAGTACGGCAATATTACCGCTGGCATCGATGCCGTCAAGATGCTCCGCGACACAGAGCCGGACCCTGTGAGTAAATTACCTGCGGACCTATTGCATACGCCCGTCGGTTTCACTGTGCCCCTCCTGACCGACTCAGCTGGCAATAAATTCGGTAAAAGCGCTGGCAATGCCATGTGGTTAGATCCTTTCATGACGAACTCCTTCGATCTCTACGGCTACTTCATGCGAAGGCCTGACGATGAGGTTGAAAAACTTTTAAAGCTATTTACTTTTCTACCCCTTGAGGAGATTAACAAGATTATGAAAGAGCATAACTTGGACCCTGCTAAGCGCCACGCTCACCATATCCTTGCTTTTGAGGTCCTTGCTCTAGTCCACAGCCTTGAAGAAGCCAGGGCTACTCAAGATCGACACAAGCTGATGTTTTCCAAAGACAAGCCGTTTGTCACTCCCGTATCTACAGGGGAGTTGGAATCATTTCCTGATCGTGTAGAACCCGCAACCTCCGCCTTGGCCCTAAACTTCCGGCCCGATATTCAACTTCCTGAGTCTTTGATCTTGGGTCAATCTATAGCAAGGATTATCTATGCCGCCGGCCTGGCAGACAGCATCAGTGATGCACACCGCCTGGTAGCTCACCGGGGTGCCTATGTCGGTGGGGCTCCTGGCCGGACAGCTCGTACCAATGAGCCGATGCGCGAAGGCGAGGTAACTTTCCAATCAGTAAAGAACTGGTTTCCACAAGAGACCAAAAACTTCCTCATCGACAACAAGATTCTCGTCCTACGACGTGGCAAGCATTTCATCCGGATAATTGAGATGGTTAGCGATGAGGAATGGGAGGCCAGCGGAAATGTTTATTCCGGCGAACCCAACAAGGGCCGTCTGCGTCTGCTGCGCGAGCAACTCATTGCGGCAAACGGTGGCAAGAACACCAGCCCACCTTTCAGCACTGCGGAGCTTGCGCGCGTAGGCGAGCAGCTTGCTCGGATAGAAAGCGCGGGAGACAACGCCCTCGAGGAAGCCGATACTTCGAAGCCGCCGCAGATCAAGTTCCCTCCCGAGCGGACGCGCGCCGCACAGCTGCTAGACAAGTACACGCAGGCCCGGCAGCTGAACCCGCATATCAACCTCTCCATGAAGCAGAAAACGGAGGCCATTGACAAAGTCCTAGCAGAAGCGCAGTCGGTGCTTGAAAACAAGAAGAGGATGCGCGATGAGGTTTTGGCACAGGCTTCTGCTGCTGGAGAAGAGAAGAAGGTTTGGTCCTGAGAGTGGCGGAATTCAATGACATAAATGGGGAAGGGGTCGTGTATCATTGATGTAAATATATGAATTTGTATGGTTGCCTTGTCGGTTGAGGGGCATGGTATCATACTATGATTTTTACGAACTTGTAATATAGAGAGAGAAAATGTAGATTATGAATGTTCTCACCCCTTGCTCCGGTTATGTATCCACGGGAAGACTAAACATACCTCCTACTAAGTTCTCTTAGGATTTCACCATGCTAGTAAAACTTATATTTTCATCGTGTTCAACATCTCAGCAGCATGATACGATAAAGCCAACCAAAGAAGACGGAAAATAAATAGTACTTTCGAAAATCATATTAAATATCCTTTCATACCACCGCGATATACCTGATCAACACACGTAACCTAAATACACGTATTAAGCTCCAGTCAAGCTTCAATCCTTAATCCATATTACTTCAGTAGATAAGTACCTCGGTAAGTAAGGGAAGTAAGTATTCTGTCCTAGCGATATAAAACCGCCAGATCGCCGGGCTCGAAGGACTTCAGCTTCCGCATGATCTCGGCGTCGGTGAGATTCTGCTCCGTGATGATCTGGTCGAAGGGGTGCCGGCCGTCGACGTAGCGCCGCATCTTCCGGCGTGTTTTCGCGGGCGAGGAGATATATCCTCCTTCACCATTACCTCCTTCCCCTTCATCTTCGCCCGAGTCATCCGCTTCTGCATCCTCTTCTTCATTGTCGTTGGTATAGTTATACCCATTTCCATTTCCTTCTTCCGCTTCGTCATCATCATCATCCTCATCGCCGTTATTATTATCGTGAATACCGAGTCTATTCAGCCTTTGCCGTCGTCGTCCCATCATCTTCATGACCAGTCCGTCATCGTCGTTAGCAGGGCTCGTCGCTGTCTCTATCCCTTTTCCTTTTCCTTTCCCTTTCCCTTTCGTGGCTCCTCCTTTCTCCTTACTACCCTTATATTTATCCGACTTTACCACCGATCTTTCTCCAGTGGTAGTAGTAGAAATGAGAGGATTAGAGATTCGCGACCGCCGCCCCGTGGCGAGGAGCGAGAGATACGATTTCGACACGGCGTACTTGTGCACGCGGTACAGCAGCCCCTTGATAACCCCGAATTGCACGAGTCTGCGCACGTCGATGTGGCGGAGCACGTCGAAGCTGGATTCCTGGTGTAAGCGCACCCATTCCATTACGCTGCGGCCGACGCAGAATGTCGTCATTAGCTTGATCAGCTGGTAGTGCGAGATCCGTTTACTAGGGGAGAGAGAGACGGTGGAGGATGTGGTTGGCCGACTCGATGTGCTGTCTACGTTTAGTCGTGGCGTGGTGGATTCGTGGAAGCGGGTTGATGGGTTTAGGCCTGGGATTGAGAGGCTTGCGGTGCTGCCTGTCATGTTTGTTTCTACGTTGCTGGGTGTCGGGGGTGATATGCATACGTATGCTGCGCATTCATCGATCAGGTTCGACCGGTTTGAGACAAAGTCGTGGATACCTGGGCGCAGAGCATAGCACGAGCCGAAGAAGAACATGTCGAGGAGTAAGATGGTGTCGTAGTACAGCAGGTGCTGCAATGCACATTGAGTGAGTGGCAGCGAGACGTCTGCGAGCCACGCGATGCGACGGACGTCATTGACGCCGTCGACGTGTGGGATGATTTTCTGCAATGTGAGGTCCCACGTCGAGTCCATGATGTCGGCGAACTTGGTCTTGGGGACCGGGACGTGCCACCCGTGGACCGGGGGTGGCGGTGCATGGTAAGGGAATAGCTTCATGTTTATGGTGTTGCCTTCGTCTGCGTGAGTGTCAGTATACCCTCTCCGACTTGCAAGATAGATAAGGAGTTTGATGAAATTATAGAGAATATCTCATCGTGGTAGAAGCACTCACCAACGGGAATCATGCACTCTCCGTAATTATTCAGATCCTCTTTGACAATCTCCAGTAAACTCTCAATAGGCCGCCGTCCATCGTCGACCTCGCCTTCCGAGCTCAAGTACCCATTCTGCCGCTCCATCTCGGCAAAAGTGACAGCAAGACGGCGCACGAGGCGCTCATAGGGAATCTGGTCGACATCTGACTCGATGACCAGCCCGAAGTTGAATAGGAACTCATTCCTGTGGTATCTCTCGTGCGGGATAGATACGGGGAAGCCTAGGATGCTGAGCTTGCCGTCGGGCGTGTTCACCGTCACCAGACGGTTGAAGAAGGCCTTGCGCGGGATGATGTACTCCTGCACGATGTCAAAGTCGACTAATGGTGGCTTTAGATGGGGTGTGAACTCGGTGGCCACGATACAGCCTGGTGGTGACTGTGCCACGATCTTGGTGCCTTCGTTGAAGTCAGTCAGTGAGCCACTGGAGACATGTAGAGATGTAGAGGGAGGGGCATCTCATGAGATGTGAGTGCTGAGGCGCATGATGGCCGGTTCAGTCGTCCGTCAACCATGTTATACAGACAAAGAAAGAGAGAATTCTCGTATAGATAGTGACTAGAATAACATACCTTCATGTGGAAGGAATCTTGCATAAAATATTCCTTGAATCATCTTGTAGTCTGGTCTGCCGTGGGAGCGCGGAACCTCAGTGTGCGACGTATGAGAGATGAGACGCTACATGACGATACATGGGCTTTGCGACAATGCTAGCTAATTACTATGAGATTCAATAACCTGAGGATTTCACGGTAGATGTCGGCAATCACTGATGAATTACAATATCGCTTCAAGTATGTCTCCCTCCATTGACATTATGAAGCTCATCGTGCCACTACAGCACCATCAGTGAGGTGGGAGCACCAGACACGGTTATTTCCCGGGTAAATCCCCCCCAACCTCCCTGACCATAGCGCTATGGTCTCCCGCTGAAGCCCCTGAGAGAGGTCCGAACCCGCTCGGAGCTGATACCTAAACTTAAAATGTACATAAGCCTGAGAGCATCATCTCATCATTCATTCCATTATCCGGTAGGTATCTACTAGAATTGGCATCATTTCACCACTCTCTCTAGACAGTCGCACGCAATAGTGCTCTTTGACATTAGACGTAGATCTAGATTCTGTAACCGCAACACAAATAGAGTCACGAGCGAGACATTCATCATGAGCGACGAAAAGCCAACGCCAACGACGACTGCCCCACCAGCGCCCGAGGCAGCAGCAGCTCTCACAGATACATCGACCGAATTAGACCCCAAACCAACAACAACTTCTTCTTCATCACCAGAAGAGACAAAGGTAGAGACCAAGGCAGAGACAAAGACAGGAGAGCCACAGGAGAAGGCCAAGACTCCTCTGCCGGATGAACCGACCACACCACTCCAGGAACTATGGGCTACCGCCAAAGCACATGAGCACGACGAGGTCTGGGGCGTGACTCTGGCGGACCCATCCACCCACGTCCCCTCGCAGATCGTGCTGCAGAAGTACCTGAACGCCAACGATGGCGATATCGTCAAGGCAAGGGACCAGCTGACCAAGACCCTGGATTGGCGAAAGAGCATGAACCCTCGTGAACTCGTCAAGCAGGCTTTCTCCAGGGAGAAATTCGGGGGCTTGGGATATGTCACCGTTCACTCTGCCGATGAGAACCGTGAGATCTTCACCTGGAACATCTACGGGAAAGTCAAATCTATTGACGTGACATTTGGCGATCTCAACGAGTGAGTGCATACTGCTTTTCCTGCCATGTTCGCTCACCATCGCCATACCACACTCATCATAACCATCAATGCTAGAACAACAGCCCGCTAACTAAAAGCCCAGGTTCATCAAGTGGCGTGTCGCCCTCATGGAACTAGCCGTGCAGGAGCTATCTCTCCAGACGGCCACGGTGCCCATCACGGCTGATCCCGACGCCGACCCGTACAAGATTTTCCAGGTGCACGACTACAACGGCGTGTCATTCTTCCGTCAATCCTCGCAGATCAAGGCCGCCAGCAAAGAGACCATCCACGTCTTCGCCACCGCCTACCCCGAGTTGCTCAAGGAGAAGTTTTTCGTCAACGTCCCGACCATCATGGGCTTCATGTACGGCGCCATGAAGCTCTTCGTCGCAGCGCGCACCATCGTGAGTGATCTATCTATCCCATTGCCACCCCTCAAGCTCTATTACGTATTCATTGAAACCGGCCTCCTAACTCATTGCCACAGAAGAAGTTCCACCCCATCACTTACGGTGAGAATCTCGCCAAGGAGAACTTTGGTGGAAGCAAGGTACCGCTTGGCAAGATGCTGCCGAAAGCGTACGGCGGCGAAGGCGACGAGTTGCAAACCCAGGGGACAGAGCCGAAGCTGGAGTAGCGCATTGATTTGTAACCGTCGAGGTCCCGGGTTTCCTAAGATTGTTTGGAAGTATGGTGAAGCAACGGCGCTGCGTAATTACATTTGCAAATTTGACTTTCGAGGGGGGTTAATGAGGTTAATTAATCAGATTGGATTAGCAGGTCTACTGCTTTCATAAGGTATGTTGGGCATAGAACTATTAGCAAGTGAGCAGGACGTAGTAACCCAGTCATACTTGACTCTATTCTACATTTACCTGGGCTGGCTTTTAACCTGATGTCTCAAGTAAGCAAGGGCTCAGTAGCCTCACCTGTCATGCGACGTAGGACAGTCCAGTGCTCATAGCCAAGCTGGCATCCGATATCCGTACAGCATACCCAAACACAGACACGATGTTCATCGCGTTCAACGCACGTAACAGTCTGCCAGAGAAGTTCTTGCCGTCAAACTAAGCCACCTGAGTTATTTTAAGATACTAGGCAAGCTATTAGAAGCTCGACGCCATCATCATGCATAGGTAGGTTACACGCTGCCTGCTGCAAGCTGAATCTACTCTACAGATTCGGCACTCTCCATTGGTCCGTAATAGCATCAAATAGCTTTGCTTACGCGTGCCATCTTTTCATGTTAATTGGATATTCTACCCAAAGTGATCGTCAAGACTATTCAGCTAAATACACACACACGACTGCCTAATAACTAGCTTCTATCAATCCTAGATCCTGTATACAGGTAGTCCTCCAGTATTTATTATAAGAACGCCCCCAAAATGCCAAGGTCGGGTTGTAGTCTATGGTCCAATCCCCCGCCTTCAAATCAGATTCTGTTACATGCGGGTACGGCCGAATATGCAGATCGCCTTACTAAATACCCCTTGATGACGCGCAGCCTCATTTGAACATGAGGTTATACAGACTCCACTGATATGAGACATGGTGATGATGTTCGGGGGTCAGCAAAGGCCATGCCAATTGTATATAGAGTTGAAGTCAACCACCAAGACCAGGAGGGACCTGGTGGCAAAGGATCTCAGAAGCCCTAGGTAGCAGATGATTGTATTGTGAATAGCTTCAAGTTCCAAACCTTTGTTATAGATTCCATGTTGAAACTCTAAACGCGAACGCCCGCCATGACCACGTCGACGCTGTTCCCTTTGTCTTTTGAGACGCCAACATTTTTCCCCTTGACCTTCCACAGCCACACACTGTCCTTCTCAGACTGGATATCACTGATCACGCTGGCCCTGGCTCCTCTGATCGCGCACCTCCTAGCCGGTGCGCCCCAGCCATCGTATCTCGTCCGCTCCAGACCTAAATGGCACGACTACCTGGTCCACTACAATCCGACGTCCATTTTCTGGCGCTACGCTGCCATCGCCGACCGCCGTATCCGCGCACTCGACTGGAGCAGGCAGGACATGGCGGCGACCAACGCCCTCTTCTGGACCGCCCACGGCTGGGATGGATCACAGGAGATGGTGGAACTGTCGGTGCTGTACCGTCTCCGCGTGCCCGAGCACTCGCGCGTCAGCTTGTTTTCCCTCGACACGGTCAAGACGGTCGTGCTTGCGCTGCAGGGCCTGCAGACTTTGTACGTGCTCGTGGGCACATTCTTCGGCGTGCATGACTTCTCAGCCAATCTGGCTGCTGACACGACATTTGGGCCACTCGCTATTTTGGGCTTCTTGCGTCTTGTTGCCGCGCCCTGGCTTACGAGCGATTACATGTTCACGTTTCGCCATACCTTGCTTCCCGACGATACTGACGATGATCCACTTGACAAAAAGACTTCGTTTGATAGTCTCCTGGAGGCCAACAATAACGCTATCGCCACTCAACAGTCTGGCCGGTTCCGCCTGCCCTCCTTCCTGCCCAGTCGAATCTTTCGTGTCGGCTACACTATAGCTCTCCTGGGAGTTTGTGTGATCGTCATTCTGTTGAGCAGTCCCATTTGCTGGTCCGGGTATCCCTGCAAGAACGGATTCGTCTACGCAGCGTCGACGCTCCTACAAATCGCCTTCTACCTCGTTGCTATAACGACTTCGTTTGTCGTGTGTGTGTATTACTTCATACGGGAACGCACCGCTGTCATGTCGACGGTTATCCCCTGCATCTCGGCCACGTGGTATAAAGTGCATAGCTTCGCTCTTGCTGTCATGGCCTGTATGCTGCTGATTCTCTCTATCGCGGAGACGCGAAAGACGCCTTGCGGGAAGTACTCGAAGCTACCCACGGACGTGGGCGACGTCGCATCTTGCAGTTATGACGACTGGTACATCCCGCTGAGCCCGCAGAACGCCCATGGGTACCTTGGGATTGCGTTCACTCAGTCCCTGAACGGCAGGGGTGAGAAGGGTGAAGAGTTGGACAAAGGTAATGTTGAGGATAAGATTTGGCTTTATAATTTTACCAAGGGCGCTTGTATTCTACCTCTATATTCGATGGTGCATGAGGATGCGACGGTTGTTGAGATCTCCGTGTAAGGTTGACTGCATGGTCTCTTTCTAGCATCACTTAGCGTTTTGATACCAAGTCAGGCGTCTATGAGATAGATATGCGAGGGGAAGGCAATAATCTCTCATGCCAACAGTGGCGGGCTGCCCCTGATTGATCTGTATTCTGCCTAACTCCTACGGTAACGGCTGTGTTGTTTGGTGTCCCAGGTGATCAGAGCTCAAATGTCTGAAGACATCCGAAATCGAGATGAACTTAGGAGCGTATTCTCAACAGTTACAAGATACACTGAAAGACTGGCTCACGACTTTCAAGCCTCGAGCATCGTCACCGTGGTGTGAAGCCCACCCTATATCCATAGAACTAGTGAGGGCGCTGAGCGAAGAGAACTTGACTGAATATTTCAAGAGACTACAATTCACAGACCCCTCTGAAAACCTTCAGGTGCGCGGATTCGAGAAGGTCAGTGACAAGAGGTGTAGATCCCAAGAATCACTCGAGAGAGGAGTCTGGGGGTTGATCTGACTTATCTGGAGGCGTATCTTCTGAGGGGCTTAGCTACAGGGAGGCTGAAGAGTACGGATGAATTCATGAGCCTCAAGAGCTTCAGACAAAGGCGTCTTGAGTTAGATGAGATACACCTTAGATGAAGGAAGGGATTAGGTACTCTTTCTGTGCTAGGTCGACCTGGAGACGCGAGCATTCCAAGCTTAGACACGTCGGCCCCCTAGCGTTTCTTGGGATCGAACGGACTTGGCAACAATAGACCAAGTGAGTAGGACGCCACAGAACCGAGCGCGAGGGGATCTCAGGGTATCCCAATTACGCTTGGGAATCAGTCTCTATGGAAAAGCAGTTGTTGGTTATGCAACGCGAATTACGACTTGCAGACGGGTATGCTAGTGCGGGTTCCCAAGTACTACTGTTATGTCAAGCGGCGCATACATGATGCATCATGTGTCCCCAAGAATCCCCGAACTAACAGCAGAATCCGCCAACTATGAAATACAAGCCTTCTACGAATAAGTAGTCATGATATACTGGAAAACCACTGCACAACAACTGTAGGCAATGCTTCCTATAGATTGATCTACCCTATTTTAGGTACTAATTTAGGAGCGACTGCCCATACCATAGTTGTTTGTCTTCACGACCTATATAACTCTATGGTGAGGTGTATATTTCTCAGGCAACTCCTTTCAACCTGGCATCTTTGCTGTTCATAATTTATCCGCAGCCCCTTCACACCTCTAGTTCTTTCATCTTCAGGTATATCAATAATTAGCCCAAGATGGCCCTCTCTGAGTCCGCCACGCGCATTGTTCGACTTGCGTCAACAATCAGTGACACCGTCGCAAAGCTTGACGAAGTCCTCATATCGCAAGGGCTTCAAACACCATCATTTGATGAAGATGCTGCGACTAGTTTTCCCGAGGAGGCTCTCGCGATGCAGAGCGTATTACTCGACGCCACTTCAAAGCTTCATGATCTTCTTCTATCTCCCATAGCACTGCTGCTTAATAAAACTACTATAAATGATTCGCTTTTCCATATAGACTCATACAGTTATAAATTTCCTGCGAAAACTCAGCAGCAAAACAACATATGCCATTCCACTTCATCAGCCACCTAGGAATTGCAGACATGGTCCCTCTTGGGGGTTCAGCCTCATTCCAAGAGGTTGCCGCAAAAACAGGCTTGAACGAAGTGATCATCCGCCGAGTGCTTCGCCATGCTATTACTATACGAGTCTTTCAGGAGCCAGAGCCAGGGATGCTTGCCCATACCAATATTTCCAAAGCAATTATTGATTCGAGCTTGAACGATTGGCTCAAAACTGTTAGTCGGGACCTGTGGCCTGCAGCTACCAAGGTAACGTGATTGCATCCTGCACGCATACCTTGGCTAATTCTATGTTCCTATAGACGTTCGATGCTGTGATCGGGTGGCCAAATTCCCAGGAGATCAACGAGACCGTAAGCGTGTAGCTCGCAAAATGATAATAACCGCTCACATATCCCATAGGCTTTTTCTCTCGCCCACAATACAAACTGTCAGTATATGACTTCTTCCAAGCAAATCCTGACCGGGCTCTTAGCTTCGAAGGCTCTTTGAAGGCTCTTACCTCCAGCCCGGAATATGACGTTTGCCACGTGATTGATAATTACGATTGGCACTCTGTGGGACATGTTGTTGACGTCGGAGGATCACGAGGAAACGTCGCAATCCAACTAGCCAAGAACTTTCCAGCATTAAAAGTTCTTGTTCAAGATAAGGAAGAAGTCATTCAAGGCGCGGAGAATAGTCTTCCAGAGGACATCAGAGATCGTGTTAGTTTTGCAGTACACGATATCTTTTCTCCCCAGAAAGTTGAAGCTGATGCTTACTATTTGCGATGGATTTTACACAACTGGCCGGATAAGTATTGGTAAGTTAGGCCTGTGCCATGAAGAACAAGTTTGTACATGTGCTAACATAGGTACTATCTTAGTATGTTCCCCTCGTGTCAGTGTCTGCATAAATCTCAACCCGCTTGGAAACCTATGACCAGCTGTGTTCTATCATGGATTCTAATCTTTCTTTCTTGTTTCCACGCGGCTAAAAGAGCCGACGCTAATATAAAACCAGGTATACTTATTCTTAGAGCATTGATTCCTGCATTAAAGTATAACGCAAGGATCATCATCCAAGAGGCATGCCTTCCAGAGCCTGGTACAGTTCCATTGTGGAAGGAGACCCGACTTCGGTAATAATAACAGTCCAATACCTAGACTTCTTCTGTACACGATGTGCTGATGTCTGGGAACTAATAGGGCTGCTGATTTGAGTATGACGGCCCTTTTCAACGCCCGGGACCGCACCGTCGATGACTGGAGGGCTTTGTTCTCCGAGGCAGACAGCAGATTCCTCTTGAAATCTGTAATCCAACCAATGGGTTCGGCTTTGGCAATGATGGATTTGCGTTGGAATGGTGAGGCTTAGACTGAATTGGCATGTGGCGCTGTGTTCGACGTTTGGGTCTACTCTGTGGTTTTGGTTCTATTATTGTCGTATCTTTCTAGAAACTTCGACTCCTAAATATCATAATATACGCATCCCGCCTAAAGTCAGAATTTCATTCCCCCTCCAAGCCATTCACCATGACCCGAGCAATTATAAAAGCCCACTGTAATATAACGCCTTTCGATTTTCGAGGTAATTCGAAGGGCCTTAAGGCCAGGAGCTTCAAAACGAAGAACGAGGACTTAGCACATTTGTCAGTGAAAGTCGTATTGCATACGGTTACGGCAAGCATGCGTGCCCAGGGCGATGGCTCGCGTCACAGATGCTGAAGCAGACCCTCGCGCACGTACTTCTAAACGATGAAGTCGAGTGTGTACCGACACCTGCTCCTAGAGCTGTCATTTCCAACTCGGTCCTGCCCCCAAAAGACGCTCGAGTAAGAATAAAGCGAAGGATAAACACTTGACAGGGGCTGGGATCGGCCAATGACGTGGATATTGAGAACGTGTCGTCTTAAGTTGATCACAGATACACACTTATTGTTCTGATGCGGTGTAGTATATCAACGACACGACGTGTAGTTGTTGCTAGTAGAGATGAAGCAGATGATAATTATTGGCTCTTGCAGTGTACGAGAGTCAACTGTGAGGGGGGGGCGCATCGAAGTTACGAGGTGATGAGGTGATGAAGAAGCACTACTGTAAGTTCTGCCAATTTGAATGTAGCATTTTACATGCCGTATGGTCTAATAAACTGCTCTATTTCGCTCATTCATCATATCATGCATCTCAATCCTCCGAGTCCTGACCACTTCTTCTCGCACCCTCATCACTCACATCCTTCTTATCAGCCGCCTCATTCACATCACGGCTCTTATTAGAAATCTTCTCATCGCTTCCCATAGCAATCTCTTCATCACCCTTACTTTTCCTCCAAGGCCACGTCCCCTTGCGCTCAGCAAACTTAAACGGCACGCCCTGCTCCTCATATTCCGCCATGACGTCATCGAAAGTCTTGCCCTCTGCCTTCGCCTGCTTCCGTATCTTACGTGTCTGGAAGAGCCAAATGAAATGCGATGCGAAGATTCCCAATTCTAAGACAATACTGTGCGACGCGTTAGTTCAGGGGCTCTGGAATGAGAACTTTGAAGACGGGATGCGTACACGATAATGTACATGACACCTCCCAAGACGTCAAAAGTATGCTGCGCGACGAGCGAGAAGAGCGAGAATATCGCGCCTGACGAGTCTATGCTTAAGAACAGAAAATTGATCCCGATGATGCGCCCCCTTCGCTTCCAGGCCTCGCCGTATGGAGGCAGAAGGCCCGCTGCGAGGAGGATGGCGGCGATGACGCCGATGATGATGACTGGGGTCTCGTTTCCGGCTTTGTAGATTGGCTGTCATGAATCAGTAGAGAAAAACATGAGTTGGGATGCGCTTGTATAAGTAAATAACTGCGTAGGCATTTCTTACGCGGATCGTCAGAACCAGGGCTGCTTCAACGCCGCCAAAGGCACCGGTCGTGCCGATGGTGATAGCGAGGACTTTCCAGAGCGGCCATTTACTGATTCGCGATATTAGTCAGTATTCTCCTATGTGTATATATATGACATGTCCAAATAACGGGTAGCAGGCGTAGACGCACTAGGTATAGAGCAGGATCTGGCCCCAATTGATTATACACAGGATCCCGAAGGCCTGGGGCTGCACTTGGATGGGGATGTTGAAGTTCTGGACGATGGCGTATACACCGAAAGGGACACCGCCTAATATTTATCCAAGTTAGTCAATAATAAAGTGCGTTCTGATGACGGCCTCTCTCATATGGTAGACGCACATAATGCCCACAAGAACATCATACTCGCAGGCAAGCCCTCGGTGCTCTTGGTCCGCCAATTCGTCCATGCCTGCGGTATCAACTGGATCGACCATAGCACTGTCCCGATAGTCTAAGGAGGTTTTCTATCAGTTGAATCTTCTAACATGTCGTTGAGTGAGAAGCACGACTTACCCCCAGCACATTGGCTGCGACGGGGATCTCTCCTTGAGGCGCCATGACCTCCCTGGTATCCTCCTATATTCGCTCTAGGGGTTGCATTGAGGACGTGGAAGGGCGATACGACAATCCGAGCAAGAACATATGTAAGTAATTGCACCACAGGATTATGGGTGAGTATCATGAATGCACGGTGAGAGATAATGATATTCGGCGCGTAGGCGCTTGTGAGGACTAAAGGTCTAAGGGTCACTTAGTCCGAGTGGGGTGAAAAATAGGCTAGATGCTTGGAGTCTAGATACGCATCCTCCTCCTCATTATTATTATTATTATTGCCCTCGTTATTGATGATGTGACTAATCCTATATAATGGCAACTATATTCACTTCAAAGCTTAACGGATGGCAAGTCTTCTATTGATTCGACAACGTCAAACGTCTTCGACGCGGCCCCGTTTAGTTTCAGCAGTAACGGAGACAGAGTCCTGGCTAAGTGCGCGCGTATATCGAGGCTCCGGTTCGGTCGCCTTGTCCGATGCTGGTGGTAGATCCGTAAGTTTACCGGACTTACCTATCTCACCTTGGCTAGAATTGGATCATAGTAAACTGTACATACTTGTGACGAGAGTGTGGGTTGAAGAAGGTGGCTAGAAAGAGTGCTGATTGGCGGGTGGCGTATCGTGTGATTGCGGCCGCACATGGAGATCTGCTTGGTAAGTTACATTTATCTCTTTGGATGAGATCCCCTATGGACCCTCGCTGGGATCTGTAAACAGGTCATTCATAGCAAATTGACAGTCCGTACTTCTCGACGGTTAGGAGAGTTAATTGCGTTGCTCAGGCTGGTTGGCTGTTCGACGATTGTTCGTTTGTCGGTTGGGTGATTGACCTCGGCATCTCCCTACCGTAGGCAGTATCCTTAGGTACTCAGTTACCCACTACTCCATACTCCAACTGACCGACTGCCTGACTAAAAGACACACCACTTTCTAAAGCTCCTAGGGCTTGGCTGCGTTCACGCTGTGGGTAGAGCGTAGGGAGTGACCTTGCGGGTTGGTTACATGGCCTACGATGATATACAGCCCGCAAGGTCATTCCGGTACATGCCTTGTCGCAAGGTGAGTGGTGAGTGTGGCCTTTGGTCAAGGTGTGTACTCGGTACTTGTGGTACCTACTTGTGGTACCTAGGTACTTATGGTAGGTATGATTGGTTGGCTGGGATGGCCTAATCAGGAAATTGGGGAGTGTTGAAGAATTCTTAATTTTCAAGGGCCCCGCTACCTTATTCTGACTAACTGTAACGCCTATATACATAGAAGATACATAGTAAGTACATATTCACCTAAGCAGCATTGGCATCAGACACCAGGCCTGGACCGATCTGTGTCTTCCTGACTCTCTCTATCGACGCTAGTTTCGCCGATAGCTGTTTTTTCCCGAGATATAGAATCTTACCGAAGTAAATAGGTAATCTAAGACATTGAAGCAACATGTTGGTAACACGTGGAGGGGACACAAGTCACGATCAGTGGTCACAGCAGCAACAAACCCCTGCCCTATCTCTCGGCTTCTGGTACCTTTTAAGGTTATCTAAGTACTCAGGCTCACCGAGTCCGCGGGTGTCCCAGATCCCGTGCTACGGTAACAGTACTTCCTACCCCCACCCATCCAGTAGAGCCCGGGCTGTCCAGGAGTATGATTCCATGCATCCAACTAGGTTCTTCTTCAGCGGTAGTCGTGTATGCAGTAATGACCATTTGCATATAACTATGTAAGTAGATCATGATAGGGGTGAATCAGAGAATGCCAGCGCGGATAAGGATGTGCCTGGCAGGCGGCAGGATCGATCCGATGGTGCAATCGGCTTACTAATGTGGGGTGGCCGGCGCTGCTTCAGAGAATGGACCCTGACTCTGGCTCCGTCTGGCTGAGGGGAGAAAAAGAATTTGAAATCGATGTGACAAGATTCCAATTGCAGTGTGGTATTTGCTTACTTACGTTGAATATCCTTACTATTAGTATTAGATTCATGTACATATAAGACTCATGTACATACCTACAACTTCCATCGTCTAAAGCACATATATACGTCTCGTGTAGATATATAGTTTGAGAATACACTTTTTATTTTAGAAGAAAAAAAGAACGGCATCTGCATTTGCCATTCCCGCATCGCCCGCACTTCCGACATCGCGACCGCCCCTCTCTCAGTGCCTTAACGTGTTTTAAAGCCTCCAGTCGCCCCTTCCCGTCCCGCCAGCGTCGTATCTAGTCTACGCTACCCACTCCCCCCTTTCTCCTCCTCGTCCGTATCGTCCGTATCCGTGTTCCTATCCTCGTTCCTATCCTCGTCCCTCTCAGTCAGCCGACAGAGGACAGCCGACCGACAAGTCACACGAGTAAATCCCGATCCAACACCGCCAAGCTGTTTTCCTCTACCTTCCGGCGGACCTTTTTACGAGCCGGCACCCCCAGCTTTTCCCTCGCCGCGATCACGACCGCCGGTCTCCAGAAAAATTCGAACCAGTCCTCCCACATTCCCAACATGGCCGCCAGAACAATGCATAGCAAGGTCGTTGTCATCGGCTCTGGGCCTGCCGCCCACACCGCCGCCATCTACCTCGCTCGCGCCCAGCTAGAGCCCGTTCTCTATGAGGGTATGATGGCGAATGGCGTTGCTGCCGGCGGTCAGCTTACTACAACCACCGATGTCGAGAACTTTCCCGGTTTCCCCACAGGTGTCAACGGTAGCAAACTAATGGTGCGTTCAACCTAGTGTCTTTTGAATTGTTCTTTCTACGCGCCTGTTTAGCTGATGCTTTCTGCTGCCACAGGATGCAATGAGGGAACAATCGGTAAAAGCCGGCACCAAAATCGTTACTGACACCGTGGTAAACCTTGATTTATCCAGACGACCCTTCCAGTTTGGGCTGGAATACGCTCCTGGTGAGGTCCACACTGCCGATGCCGTCATCCTCGCCACCGGTGCCTCCGCAAAACGTCTCGGCCTTCCTGGTGAGGATGTTTACTGGCAGCAAGGTATCAGCGCTTGCGCCGTATGCGACGGCGCTGTCCCCATTTTCCGCGACAAGCCATTGTTCGTTATCGGCGGCGGTGACAGTGCGGCCGAGGAGGCGCTGTTTCTGACCAAGTACGGTCAACATGTCACGGTTCTAGTGCGAAAGAACGAGCTGCGCGCCAGCAGCGTGATGAAAAGTAGACTTGAGGACCACAAAAAGGTTACCGTGCGTAGACTAGCGCAGGGTGTCGAGGTCAAGGGTGATGTGGACGAGCTCGTGAAATTTTACAGGGCCAAGTATGGCCACGAGGCCGTGGGTGGTGAAAATGGCATAGATGTCAAGATTCTTACACCTGAGGACAAGGAGAAGTGGGTGAAAGAAGACCAAAAGAAGTATCAGCGACGAAAAATGACTCACCTAGTTGTGGAGTTCACCACTACCACCGAAAAGGGAGAAATAATAGAGACGAAGCAAGAGACTGTAGAGGCGAACGGTCTGTTCTACGCCATTGGTCACAACCCGGCTACCGAGTTGGTCAGGGGCCAACTGGAAGTTGATACTGAGGGTTATGTCATTACCCAACCCGGTACTCCTTTCACCAGCATCCAGGGTGTCTTCGCTTGCGGTGACGTGCAAGATAAGAGATACAGGCAGGCCATTACGAGTGCAGGTACGGCTATTTCATCCACCCTTCCTTTTGATTGGAGTACAATCAATGAATCTATGCTAACGACTCTGACTCCAGGAACTGGCTGCATGGCTGCTATGGATGCTGAAAAATACATTGCAGACCTCGAGGTGGAGGAAGCTGCTAGGAAGAAAGCTACTGCTGCCAATGGATCTGCTTCTACCAATGGGACCGCCTCTACCAACGGCAAGATTTAGATTTTACTACTTTTTTAGAGATCGTCACTATTCAAGTCTTATCCAATAGATCTGTGTTACTTGGCGTTTTTTGTTGACATTGTAGACAGCCAGCTAGCTGTCGCCTCTTAGATAGACAAGATAAATCCAATGATACCAATAATGCATCTTTCCAATATTATGCACGAACTCAGCTTCAAATGAACAATGGCTTCGACTGACAAGCTCGCGGATGCGTCAATGCCTTCTCTACTCAGGTAACTCGACTGGGCAGCGGCTTTGCGACGCGAAGGATTCCGATGATACGATTATTTTCTTGTGGCCATGGGTGCTCTAAATCACGAGGTCGCATTCGATGGATATATTTCCTAGGATCTAGGTATACCATAACAAGGCTGGAAAACAGGGCTTAGAATTGAAGTTATTCGGAGTACCTACAATAATCTGCTAGCTCTGCTATGGTCCCCTTCGCCCTGGCTACTAAATTGAATACTCTATACTCCTTTGCTACTCTTCAACCCCCGAAATGTCTCCGTCAAGAACAAGGTACGAGATATTACCGTACTACTCTCATTGTTGCGCCATGTCTCGAAGATCAGGAGTCAGGGCATTCAACCCCTTTCTAGCTATATACACCCAGTTTCCTTGTCCTTAATCCCTATTTTCCCAACAGTCTCATTACAAGCAAAGTCTGTATGTCCTCATATTCTCACAAGCCTTGTTCAATGGGCTTTCATAAGGCATGCACGCATAGTCTTGGGCGATCTGCAGGTGCATGTGGCTCATTCTTATATCGCGCCTTCCTCCTGCCTACATTATACTGTGCCCAACTCAAGACCTCTATCAGTATGGTTTGTCTGGTCGACAGTAGCAATACAATCTCATTCCTCTCCTCCAGCTCATCCCCCCAATGCGTTAAACAACGCCGCCCTGTCTACAGTTTGCTGGACGAGAATTTGTTTCAAATTAAGTCAAGCTTGTCTACCTACCTTGCCTTCCTCAACATGGAAGAAAACCGAGGATACACAATCAAAAGCGAAGGCATCAATCGCCAGGTACGTATAGGTATCTGCTTTCGCTATGCTGACAGGGATCACTCTTGCTGGATGAAATTACGCCTCGGCCAAGACGCTATCCAATCAATCCATGAAGATATCTAACTATTGATACAGGGCAACTACTACTGTGCCTATGACTGTGGCCCAGACGCTCCTAACCAGAACGCCTACTTTTATCATAATCTGTAAGTTCGTAAATTGCCTGACTCGTCATCTTTCCTGTCTTCTTTGTCCGTTTGTGTCTCAACTGTGCGTGAAGAGGGGGAGGAGATACTTAAGTAGGTACTGATACCAGTACCCCGCCACACACAGTGACGGCTCGCGCTTCTACAAGAATCCCGACGGCAGCTCGTACTTCGCCAATAGCCGCGGCCGAGAGATGTATGTCGCGCCCGATGGCGACAAGTACATGGCTTTCAATGGTGGACCTTGGCAGCCTGTGTCTAAGAATGAGAGATGATGTCTGGTGTGTAGATATCGTTTGATGGCGACAGGGGTAAAGCGTCACCGTACAATCGGTCATAAGGTTGTGTAACTACCTACTGTACACGATAGCAGCCTTGGGTGTTTGGGACACCTAGCTCGTGTCGCCATGTAATTGAGCGACGCTGAAGTAAATCATGCATGCAGGCAGGCAGGCAGGCAGGCTTATCTGTAGGCTTCGGTGAATGAGACCGATGTCGTGTGCTCTCGATCTGTGTGTGGTTAATGCGATTCTATTCTCATTACCTGGGGTCTTCTACCATCTTAGTACAAAGGACGTATCGATACTTTTTATTGGAACTTTAGAGGAATACATGTCATCCTTGAACCACGGCAAGATACCTAGCGGTAACGGGAAATAGGCCATTTGTTGCCTGGTCTCAACTGTAAAACACATGGTTCGTTAACGCACGGTGGGCAGGTGTGACGGTGTCCCGGTGTCCCAGTAACCTGGGATGTCTCTGTTGCCGGGTGTGGCTGCCCGGGCCTCTTTGTGCCCATTCCCTGTCCTCCAGATAGTATTTAGTCGAGAGCGAACGCACCTTGAATCTCATCCCATTTCTCCTCACTTTCACAACACCACAGCTACCTACCTTCATTACGACGATCCAGTCGCTCGCCTTCTAGTCACCGATCCCAGCCAAACCTAATCACTCGATTACTTCATCCATCAAGATGCCCAGCAATCAAGGATACTCGTACAAGAGCTCCGGCACCAACAGCCAGGTCAGTGTCTCTACCCTCCTCCTCCCCATCATCATCTCGTCATGTGCGACTTCGATCTATCTGTACAGCAGTTTGAGCTCCCGAGTCAACCCGTACCACTGTCCCCAAGTCCCCCGAGCATTGCCTACCTGTAGCTGAGATAAATATCATCTATTCCCGTCCACCTTACCGCGACACCGCTAGGTGGTCGACCAGTACTAACAATCACCAACAGGGCAACCACTACTGCTCGCGCGACTACGGCAGCAGCGCGTCCAACCCCAACTCGTACCACTACTCCAACACGTAAGTCTTGCTACTTTTCATCTCTTCATACAAATGATCAAGTATTCATTAGATGGATTGTGTGCCTACTTCCCTCTGACCTCTCCCCCTTCGCCCTCACCTTCACATTCACCCTATCCAAACCTATCACGCCATAAATACACAGCGAATGAAATGCGAAAAGACTCAGCCTGCGCTGGATACCTGAACTAATACCCGTATGTATGACAGCGATGGATCGTACTACTACTCCAACCCGAACGGCAGCAGCTACTACAACAATGGCCAGGGCAGCTCGACCTACACGGCACCCTCTGGTAACAGCTCCTCCTCGTCTGGCAAGAAATAGACAGCTGCTGGGATTGAGAGGTCTGCAGTTTCTCTCTTATGCGCTGTTTTCACGGGTTGAATGCTATTCGGCTTCCCCATCCCCAATCAGTTATTCCATCGCGTAGGCAAAGGTTAGCGCGAAGGCTGTGTGTGTGTGAAGTAGTGATATGGGATTCTCAGGCGTAGTCTAGGATACGCGGTTTGCTAGCACCAACCTGAACAAGAGATTCCTGCACTCTATGATGGAGGTCCGAATGAAGTGAATTGTACCCGTGCGAACCTAAAGCAACACAAGTTTAAAGAGCTCGTCTGGATGTCCATCCAATGGATTGTAAATGATTTGGGCGTAAGCCTTGAGTAAATGATATCCCTCTCATTGATTGAAGCACATGAGCTCTACTAAAGACTTTATATACAGTGGATAGCCTACCATATCAGATGTGAACTCATTAGAGGATGTCTATGTATTCAACAGGGGGACATGCCCCTAGTATCTGACAGGCTTAGACGCCAATTGACGACTCCTAAGCCTTAACTAAGATATCGAGACGATGTCACATATATTTATAACTGTAGCTTCATAATCCTAGCCTGCAGCGACTAAGCCATGACGAAAAGACGGCTCTTCGATTAACATTCGCTGGAGGTCGACTACTGAGGTTGTAATGAAGTAGGCCGTGGTAGACCCAGAGATCTGTTGTGACCAGCAGACTCGAACGATTCACAGACGACTTCTAGAGTTTTCCTCGTTGTGGAACCTCCCACATCGCTTCCACCGGCGCCATGTCGAAGAAACTAGGGTAAATATTCTCGCAGTGTCTCCTTAATGAAATGATCACCAGGATCCCCGAGTCGATCCTTGTCCTCGGTGAAAACGGGATGAAATTGAATCTTCACGGAGACGCTGACGGCGTCCGCTGAGACTCCTTTGTCATCGTCACCTTCTAGAAATCGGAAGGGGACTTGACGTCTCCCGGCAGATGATAGCCTATGTGGTGTTCACCGTTTAGTATCCAGTTGGTACAAGAATATGAGCAAAATCATAGTCCGGTTGTTCAACTGCCTAATCCGTCACCATCCAACGCGTTTGACCAATCGGGCTTCTCGCTCGGTCAAAACGGCCGTCCCTGTTTACATAATCCATGGAGACGGCCGTTCCGCCCGCATCCCTTGCATCGCGATGGTATAATATAAGATCCTTGAAGATGTGAGCTCTACTAATTTTTACGAGAGTATCTCCTCGTTTCACCTGTAAAGCGAAGCGCCAATAAAAAAAACCTCTTGTTTCTTTTCCTCGTTCTTCTTTCGCGAAGTCTAGACGCAATCACCACGCCCCTTGCATGTACTAATTATACATGCTGCCCCTGGACTACGAAGATACTTCTAATTTACTGACGTATCAAGATGGTGAACTCGGATGTGATGATTTACCTGCAGCCCCTGAACGGAGCGGATGATGTTCTGAGTGTGAAGCTGAGCGATGCTCGATATAGTCCTACTCAGGGAAGCAGCCCTGTAGGAGGTTCTGATCCAACAGCTCTCAGCGTCAGACCGGAGCAGTCGTCGCGCAGTCTTCATGGATGGAAGGTAAACAAGCTCGCCCTTCGCCGCCGGAGCACTCGAGCCGTGTATCTCGTGCGGCTTAATGCCCTCTTGCTCAGCCAATGCTGACTTGAAAAACAGTGGATCGTCTCATACTCGGCCATGCTCTCTACGACCTTCCTCTTCTCCCTAGATAATACCATCGTGGCCAATATCCAGCCGTCCATCATCGAGGATTTCGGCCGGATCGATCTGCTCCCTTGGATCGGCACCGGGTTCGCCCTGGGCACCATGGCCGTGCTCCCCTGGGGCAAGGTATACGGCGTGTTCGACATCAAGCTCGTGTATATGTTCAATATCGTCCTATTCGAGATCGGCAGCGCAATCTGCGGCGCTGCGCCAAATATCTACGCTCTTATCCTCGGACGCGTCATCGCTGGCGTCGGCGGCTCCGGCATGTACTCCGGCACCCTCACGTACGTGTCCGTGCTGACCGACTTGCGTGAGCGGCCGGCATATCTGGCAGGTAGTACTGTGGTCTGGGGCATCGGCAGCGTTCTCGGTCCCGTGGTACGTTGCGTTCAACGATGCGCGCGGTTCGGCGTAGGCTTGTGAGATTGCTAACACTAGCCTCTAGGTAGGAGGCGCGTTTGCCGTCAGCCCCGCAACGTGGCGATGGGTGAGCTTGAACTTAGGATACAAGAGGTGCACGATGCTAACGGGGATCTCGATATACTGTAGGGGTTCTACATCAACCTTGTCATCGGCGCTGTCTTCGCTCCGGCATATCTCCTCCTGTTCCCGCGGATCAACCCACGACCGGACAAGAGCTTGGCACAGAAATGTAGCATGATTGATTGGATCAACACCGCCGTCTTCTTGGGAGGCTCTGCCATCCTCATTGTCGCCATCTCTTTCGGTGGTGTGGTGTTCCCTTTCAGCTCGGGTCCAGCGATCGCCCTGTTTACCCTCTCAGGGGTTTTCCTTGTGGCCTCCATCCTCCTTATGAAGTACCATCCGTTGGTTTCTTATGAAAACCGCCTGTACCCGGCACACTTCCTCAAACGCTTCATTTTATTCAATATGCAGCTTCAAGTCTTCCTCGTCTCGGGAATAGTCTTGGTAAGTAACGAGCTACGAAAAGACTTGGATCTGGTATTGAGGGCCTCTGCTGACAACACCCTGCATAGTCCATGACTTATTATATCCCGTTATTCTTTCAATTCGTAAGGGTAAGTCGTATTAGATGCCCCTCTACTTAAACCACTTCAGCTGGCCACGATGATCGTCACTTACATGTAATTTCAGGGGGACGGCCCACTCGAGGCGGGCGTCCGACTCCTGCCACTCGTGATCTTCCTTGTCGTTGTGTCTTTGGTGCAGGGCGTGCTCATGCCCAGGTTCAGCTACATCTCTCCATGGTATATTGGTGGTAGCGCGCTTGTGCTGGCCGGGTGCGCTCTCATGTGTATGTTGCCGCTCCCGCATACCCATCGTTCTACTGACATGGGCATATGATGGATCATGTCCACTAATATGTCACTCCCTCATGATTCTAGATACGGTTCATGAAACAACTCCCAACGCCAATATCTATGGCTACACTATCTTGGTCGGTGCAGGAGCTGGCTTTTACATCGTGGCCGGCTTTGGCATCGTCCAGTCTCTTGTTTCTACTGAGGAGATAGCCAACGCCGTCGGTGCCATGACGATTTGTATGTCAAACACTTGAATTAGTTCTCTTCACCAACATGATTCAACCCCACGTGAAAGACTGATTCTTAAGCCTTATAGCCCAGGACCTCGGCATGGTGCTCTTCCTAGCCATTGCCGGTTCGCTATTCCACAATCTCGCCGTGCAGAAGGTCGGCACTGTCCTGCCAGATGTCGCGCCAAGTGACATCGGAGACTTGATTGCCGGCACGAGCAGTGCCACGTTCCAGATGCTTTCGGACACTGACAAGGCCGCTGTCATCCCGCAGATCGCCAACGCGCTGACCGGCGTCTGGATCTTCTTTCTGGCCACTGCCGTTTTGAGCTTCGTGTTCACCTTCCCCCTTATTGTAAGTCTTCAGTTACCTTCCTCTCAGCCCGAGCAAGGAGAATAATTGACGAGAGTTGCAGAAGGTCAAGGTAAGCACCTCTACTAAGGGATCAAGTGTCGGCTCGGACTGATAATCTGAAATCTCCAAGCCCAAACCGTAGAAGCAATTGCGGTAGTATTATGGTGTCAACTCATGTAATCTGTCACAGCTTTGGAAGAAATCCTAAGCAACTCAGTCCCCCCGGCGTCAGAGGAACGGCAGAAATGGGGTGGGCGTGACAGAAACAAGAGCGCACTCTCCAAAGCCGCGCACATATCGCCTCGCTGTATTGTTTTCCAATACTGATAATTCAGATTTGCAATAGTTTGGAGCTCCGTTTTCTCCACCACCTTTCGTGCGACAATCAACTCTCGCAGCTTCCAGTGACGAGTATCGTAATGAAACTTAATACATGCATGTATAACTGACTATTCAAGCCCATCTGTTCTAGCTCTAAAGAGGATGCTTTGATCTATAATGTAAGGGAATCAAGGTCTCGGCCGTCATGCTGGTTCTTCAACGTTGCCGCGATAGACTCTGTAGATCTGTGCCAAAATCCATCAGCTTGTTCAATATGGTCTAATGCTGTCATAAGCAACCGTAGCGACGAGCACAGATCTGTCAGGGTTTCGCTCTGATGATAATGACGAAAATCATGCTTCTGCTGACTAAGATTTAGTTTGAGCTGGCGGTGGAGCGCTTTCATGGCCATGACAAGCGGCCAGCCGATAAACGTTGCCTGCAGCCTGAAAATACCGTGCTCTGGCTGCTCCTCCGGCCAGTTTAGTCGTACCGTGGTTGCAATTTTGAACGCAGCTGCTGTGGACCGCCTCTGGCTCTCGGCAGCTACGAGCCTTGGGTGACCAATCCGCTCAACTTGCACGATAGCAGCCTCATGGAATAGAATTTCCGTGGCACGTAGATTCATGTACATGCTAAACGCCACCGGATCTTCCTTCACAGCTTTAGCGTTCATGTGCATATGTAACATGGCAATGCGTTCATCGATAGTCTGAACAAGGTTATGGTGATTGTCCCACTGGGCGGTTCTGTCAGTGCTAGTGTCTTCGATTGCGTGGTCCGGGGTAGACGACACTTTGGTGGGAATAAGGGGCAGATAATGAGCTTACAAATCCAAAGGCGGGGGTGTCGTTTTCAACTAATCGCCCATGATCAAAGCACTTGATAGCAATATCCACCATAAGAACACAGGCCGCGTAAGTTGAGATCTCGGGGCACGTTTCAGGGGTAAGGTCGCCTAAAAACGGCATCTCTATTGGAGAGAATCCTGTTGATAATAGGCCTGGCGACGGGAGTCGAACCCTCAACGTCTGTTCAAACTCGTCAGCTTACTTGGTGACTACCGCCTCTGGTGTCATACCAGGGCAAGCGGGAAACGAACATGAACATCCCCAAGCTCACAGTTCACACCTGTACGCGTTCGCATATAACTTTCTAAGACGTAAAGGAACCAAAACGATCGTCGTCGTTCTTCCAACAAAAGGGGATCTTGCGTTGCTGGGAGGTTAAGGTGTAGATCTGGCCCCGCGCTGTATTCGTTTGTGTCGCTATCTATCCGATGCAAGCCGAGCAGTTTTGACAACCTCACAGCGCGACCCAGAGTCATCCAAGCTCTTGTCAGTCGCCTATCCGTGATCTCAAAACGAATGATGAAAAGCAAGGCCTGCAACAGGTTTAAGTTGGCTGCGCCTCCTTCGTCAACCTCCCTCTCACACTGTTCAGCATAGTTGCGAGCAGCAGTATAGTATGCCTCTAGTAGATGTGGGTGTTGCAGGGAGACGGTACATCCGACGAGGGCGACGGCATAACCAAGTGCCAAGACCGATGGTGCACTTGAATTGCCGGTAAGTTCAGCCGCAAACCTGCTTTCAGAGAGAAAGGGCAGGGAAAAGTAGACAATTTCAAAATAATTACGATGAAGTGCAGTAAGGTGGCGCGATGCGATTTCGGTATCCTGGATGCTGAACGCTGTGGTGTGGCTTGCACATGTTGTCATAGTAGGGCTTGCCGTAGACTCCAATAGAGGAATGGGCATCGTCATGGTGACCCAATCCGGGCCCAGACCTGCAGCCGAATAGTCAATGCTGCCAGTGAAGTTGGCGAATAGATCAAGACCAGTAGCCTGGTCTGAGGTCGCACTGGCAGGCATATTGGCGACCTCCGGAGGTGGCAAGTCTACGTCCATGGCAACTTGGGACGCCAGGTTACTGGAGGCACTTGTGAGAGACCCTAAGTTTAATGTTCGGCTGTGGCCCGGAGAAGACGGGAATTGTGGTTTCGTCTGGGGAGGAAGATGAGATGGCGGTGTGGTGGCCGGCAGTGACCCGTTCCTCGGGGTGACCAGCAACGCTTCGGCCTTGGCTAGTCTGTCGTTGATCTGGGAAATCTGCAGAGGCAAGTCATCAGGCGAGATGCGCGGCCTTACATTGTAGCTGCAGTCTTGGCCCAAACGGGCACACCGGCCGCATTGTGGTTCCTCACGATCGCACCGAACTTTCCGCTCCCTGGTCGGGTGGGACAAAGATCAGAACTAGATACTGAGAAGACGTGCTTGGTGAGTCAGGCAAAGAAGCAAACACTGACTGACCTGCAGATTCCACAAGCTCGACGGCCATTGAGCGCACCGGTCATCCTTCCGGACTGTTGTTGTTTTTGTTGCTGTTGGGGCAACTGAGTGCGCTTTTGCAGCATACTGGCTTCCATTGCTGTATTCGAACCATCAGGTTGGCCTCCAAATCTAAGTCGATGAGTCTAGAAGAGGATGAATGGCGCCTTGGCTGCCGCAATATGCACAAGCTCCTTCGTGCGTTGACGCGGCACTGGGGGGGG